GGAGCAACAAAGGGTAAGGTAATCGTCAGGCAGCCACGCTCTCTCCATGGTGGCCCTGTCCTGTTCCTGGCTCAAGCTCCCCTAGAAAATTCGGGGAATAAAAATAAGAAAAGAAGTGGACTGTGGGCGGGACTTTGAGGGGGGATGATCGCGCCAGGCACAAGCGCGCTACCGTCATTCATGGCAAATCACTTTTATCATAGGGTGGGAGACTATCATGTATACTATAATCTGCCGTCCCTACCAACACCCGGTAGTTGATTTTATGTGCCTCCAAGGGGGGTTGGCCAGGTTCGATTATGGTTCGATTTATGGCTCTTTCTGCTTCATCATTCTCACTGCCGTACACAAGCCAGTTGGTCAATCTGCAATTGGGCACAGTTTTGGAGTTTTGTTCATCCAGCATAGAGGGAAGAAAGGGGGGCCCAGATGTGTAACCTGATGGATCTTGGCGTCACAGCCTGTGTGCAAAGCTCCAGCGAGTGGGCTACCAAGGTTGCAACGTTGAATGCTAGAAACATTTTCGTCTCGTCTCAAGAGTTCTAGGGCATTTTTCTGTGCGGGCGCTTTCCGCAATAGTGTACTGTTTCCTGGCTGATTGCCATAAGACAGCTCGAGTATTAATCAAACGGTCATGGAACAGAGCGATTGGATCGTGTAACTAGAAACATTTGCTCAATCAATCCGCGGGGAGGAGAAGGCTACCCTCATTGAGAGAAATTCGCCAATGGTAGGTTACTCTCGTCCCGTCTCTGGGCCTCAATTCAACCCCTCCATATATTCATTTATACATACTTTGTACATCACATAAATGACGAGGCACTGGACTGGACCCGGCAAGAGCAACCAGCCAGCCTTCCATAGGGTGCTGAGCAGTTTGGCTCTGCATCGAACCTACTTGCCTTTCTGCCCATCGGACCTTACCTCACAATAACCGTCCACATTAGTTCTTGTCATGCTGTTGAGAACCCAATGGTATCAAAAGTGCAAACCCCTCATCTGCCTCTTCTGATTTCCCCCCTCCTCTCAACAACAACCCCTCCACAAACATGAAAGGCCTGGCCGACGTGGTATGTAGCAATAATTCGGCAGCATGCCATTTTCTTTCTGCGATCGCATTTTCATCACACGCGCACACACCTCCCTAACACCTGCACACACCTACGAGACATGCGATACAGATGCGAACAAGGGGTCCTCATGCGGGTGGGTGGTGCTCACGCCCACCCTGCAGTAGCAGCCATGCACCATGCCAGTTTTTGTTTCCCGCTCTGCGCGCGTCAACTGTAAATTATTGCCTTTGCCCATACTAAGGGGCCCACGACTGGAGGCGCAAACTACCTAGCTTACCTGGACAATGGTAGGCAATTGGAGAAAGAGAATGTTGCTGTTACTACATCACTTACCTCACTTTGCGCAGGAGACGATGATGCCCTGGTCGACTTGTGTCTGGGCAAAGTGCGGTACGTATGTACTACTGATACGACAGTAGGAAGTTGTTGCCCAGCAATTTGCCCACCGCCATCTATGAATGATACCTCCTCTCTTCCACCTCTTTTCCCAGCCTAGATTCTTGAAATTACACACTGGACAGACTGAAGGAGAAAGACAGGAGAAGGGCAAAAAAAATTGAAATTCCTGTTACGTGAGCAGTGGCTCTCATTTCAGCTGAGTGCGACCTATATTATTGCCTACTAATCATTTTTTATTTTATTTGAGCCCGCAACTCAATAGACGAACGAGTCCTCTGAACAGACCAAGCCGTCGGCGGACGCGGGCCACTTCCGCTTCGTTACCCCAGTGCTTCCAGGCGGAGACTTGACCACTGCTCCTCACTACTGTCAAGTGGTGCACTACACACAGCTCTCTACCAAATTACCTACCTCCCGGCCTCGGTTTCTTCATCGGCCAGCAACAGCACTTTTGGGGGGTGGACTGGGTTGAGAGCAGCACCAAATCTCACACGCAATACCCACCCGCAAGCCACGGTACTGATACCAGAGCCGACCGGGGATGATTTAGCGATTGCCACTCTACCGCAACCTGAGCCCGCATCACAGCAGAGACCAGCAAGCGGCGTCTGCCACCCTTGCCCCACTGTTCAGCAAAGGTACAAGCAGCTACTGCAGCGCAGCGACATTGTCGAGTACATGCCGGAGTACGGACTGAGGTACGTAGGTACGGGCGGGCGAGCCTACACACGCTACCCAGAACCAGACCATCTGGCACCCAAGCTTCCCCTGTCCCTGTCTGCGTCCAGGTACTGTAGTATGCCTGTCTTCCCCCGGCACTATCCTTCTCCCTCTATCCTTGTCTGTAGGCCACCACGGCATAGGCTCCGCCGCGACAATCGCTGCCCATGTATTATACTGCCGTTATCACACGCAAGACAAGGTTTTGTTGCCCTGTAGGTATAGGTGAGCAGGTAGCTATGCCATGTACCTGATGTTGAGCCTTGTCGATTCACTCGAGACGCTGCCTCTGTTCTGCTCCGATGTTGCGGGCACATCCGAGCTAGGCGACTGAAAGTAACCTCTTCGAGGAATATCTCTCCTCGAGAATACCTAGGCAAGATAATTTCTCTGGCAAGGACCCTATCGAGCAGAGAAAAGCAAGGACATTCTTCTCTTCCAGGTACTCCCACGCGCCGCTGCTCACATTTCGGGGGAGTATTTCTTTGTTTTGTTTGATTCTTGATCTCTCATATCGTGACCTGAGGATCTGCGCAACAACAATTTCCGTGAAGCACAACAACGCCTGCGACCGTTGGGCGTTGGAGTTTTTTGCTTTACTCTTCCCCCGTTGACGAGATCTGTCCTGCAAGCACGTAAGTAAACGTTGAAATCTTGTCTTACTGTCATCCGCCTCCACACCATGATCGACGACTCGCGGCACCTGATGCTTGGCCATTCCCTGCGCTAACAGACGCCATCTCAGGAACTCACGGACATCAAACGCAGGACCAAGTAGACAGACCCATCCTGAAAGTACGTACATGCTGTATGTACTTCAGGTTTGGTGACTTTCCCATCTTCTTTTTTCTTTTTCCCTTTTTCCGTGGGTCTTTTTTATTTTATTTTTTCTCTCTTTGATCCTCGACGCTAGCCCATAATCGATCTTCTCTGCGTCTGCCACGTTCTGACAGGGAGCCCCCTCCAATCTGAGGATCACCGCGGGTCGACTCCTCGTTGTCGAACTGGTCCCCTGTGATCTAGTCACTTTTCGTTCACACACCCGAGCCATGAGAGCTCGAGGTGCTCAGACACTCTTTTCTTTCCTTTTCCCGCCTTCTGGAACTCCACAATATCCTACTCTGGCTATACCCACGAAAAACAAGAAAGTCGCTCCACGCTCCTTGCCAGGTACACCAGAGTGCGATATCTGATATAGCAGCCTGTGAGGTAGTCCCCTCGAATCGGACTTGCATACAGTTGACAGGCCCTATATGCATCCACGATTATCAACATCCGCACCGTCACCCTACTTAACTCTCGAGAGCGCCACCTCTGGCAACATCTCGTTTCAGTCACTCTCATAGTCCAAGGAGCCTTTTGCCCTCAACTCAATTCATCTCTTTTATATGACGAAGAGCAACTTTCAAGATTGGCAAGGTCGACAATTCTCATCTGTCTTTCTTTGCAGTAAAACACTGGCCGCATAGTCGAGTGTCGAACATCAAGACAGTACACCTCGTATTACACCTCCGGCTCTTCATCACCGTTGCGAGGAAGAAGTATAGTAAACTAGACGTTCCGAGGTCAAAACGTCCAGCTCTACCGCCCAAGTAGACTAAGGTCTCGCCAGCTTCTGTGCACCCCGTCGGATTGTCAGCCACGATATTGTACCAAGAAGAAGGAAACAGATCAACACCTACTGCATCATCTTACCTCTATTCCCCTCATCATTGCCATACTTGACTCCAGAAACTGCCCAGACAAGTTAAGGTCTGTCTAGTCATTTGGACTTTCTGTGTCCAAGCGCCTTACAGTCGTCGATCCTCCTATTGCCTACTTGGCCTAAGTGCGCCGGGTTTCCGAAACCTATCACACGCCGGTTTGCTGGACACTCGAAGTTCGAAACAAAAGGTTGCGCCCTAGGAACATCAGCCCGTGACCTCAAATCCTTGGACGTCTGGATTCCCTCCGGTTCCTTGCAGGGCAACCGTCAGCCGCCTCCCTCCCCCATTACTGTTAGCTGGTCGATCCAGTTTCCTTCGCAACGTTATTCCCAGCTAGGCTCTCGAAGGGAAACCTCGAGGGACCCTGGAACTTAGTGCTCGTGCACGGAAGACATCGTCTCTATCTGTAAGTTAGCACATCCACTATCTCGTTGACTATCATTACCTGTTTGTTCTCGTCTTTGCGTCTCCTTCTTCGATATATATCGGACCACCCTCCGCCACCTCACCAGGAACATCACTCATCAACAGGCCTTCAGGCAACGCCCGTTTCGTATAATACTCATTGCCATACTTGTTTGCCTCTCCTCTCATTTCCTTTATTTCATTCTCTTTTGCACTCTCATTGCCTGCAACAAGTCATCATCATCCTCCTCCTGCTCCAACACTTAATACCAAGCAATATTCTTACCAGCCTCACAGCCATTGCCGCCGCGCTGGACGCTCACAACGTGTTGTGAACTTGTTACCTTTCGTGGCGCATTTCGACGTGTTGTTCAAGGTCCAGCAGATAAGATCCATCTTGAAGGACAACCACATAGTCTCGTTTGCCAAGCTTGCATTAATCGAATCCGACTTCAATACGCTCCCGCGCAAGGTTCCATTGACGGTGCCTGACCCCCCTTCGAACAAAAACCCACAGTATCCTTGCATGCTCAACCAGCCGGCCCAGCAATACCTTGTCACACAAGACCAGGGTGCTCAACGACTAGGACTTGCCTGAGACGAGCACATAAGTACGGCTCGCTCGCACTCCCAAAGAAACGACCTTTGTGTGGTATAGTCCTTTCAGCATAAGAAGGAAAGAAAGAAAATCGAAAAGATGGAATTGATGGAGCTTGTTGAGAATGAGCCCACGGCTCGCCCATTCCAGTGCGACTGGCAATCCTGTGACAAGGTAACCTACCTCGGATCTGCTCATTGCACTTGGTACACGATGCACTAACACCATGACCATAGAGCTTCAACCGAAAGTCAGATCTGCAAAGACACTACCGTATTCACACAAATGAAAGACCTTACTCTTGCGCCACACCTGGATGTGGAAAGAGCTTCATCCAGCGCAGCGCGCTGACAGTCCACATTCGCACTCACACTGGTGAGAAGCCTCACCAATGCCAGCACATTGGTTGCGGCAAGCGATTCTCTGATGTAAGTTCAGCCTTACCTTGGCTCACTGAACCTCACCATGTTGACTCGATTCCAGTCTTCGAGTCTCGCTCGCCACCGAAGAATCCACACCGGAAAGCGTCCGTACAAGTGCGCCCACGAAGGTTGCTTGAAGAGCTTCTGTCGCAAAACCACCATGGTCAAGCACCAGCGCCGATCTCACCAGCGGGGCATCCACTCGTCAGACCTTGATGACTGCACATCGGACTCTGAGAGCGGCGAGTCCCCTACGACCCCAAGGATGTCTGCAATCAACTGGCCACACGTCGGTATGGGAGGCCACCCCGGCATCCACGGTCACTCGATTCACCGAGCAGCGTCTTTTGCCGACTTTGGCCACGCCATGAACCAGTACAACATGCAGCAGCACCCATACGGCCACCGCCACAGCGTTTCGAACAGTGTAACTCACGAGTTCCACAGCCAGCCCGTGCAAGAGCAACACCCGGGTGCTCAAATGCTCCACAGGACCGCGAGTATGCCTCAGCACTCCTACTATGTCACTGAACACGCCAACCCTGGAGTTGCAACAATGAACACCAACCCGATGCCAGCATACCACGTTCCGCGACAGCATGTCGAGCGGCCCATGATTGAGATTCCCTACAACGCCGCAGCGATGACGGGATCTCTTCAAAGCAGCCCCGCGACTTTCTCTCCAGCGTCCGGACGCAGCCCCTCGGTACACCAGGATGGCTTCTACACACATCAGCCAGCACAGCAGGCAACGTATGCTCTCCAGACCACGTCGCCAATCGAGTCGCAACCACAGGCCATGGTCCAATACGTGCCACAAATGCAGCAGCCTATTCCCACAACTCAGGCTGCCCCGGCGCAAGTACACATCCAGGAGCAGTTCCAACCGGCACCACAGCAAGATGAGCAATGGTTCAATGGTATGCCCTACCAGCCCCCAGTTGAGGTTGCGACCATTGGCTCGCTGCCATCCTACGGCTCTGGAGGTGTATATGATCCATGGGCCATCAAGGCCGACTTTGAGGACCCTTCCATGCAGCTTCCCAGTGCTCGACTTGAGAGCATGTAATGCTGCATGACTTGCTTGTCACCACCTCCAGGCTCTCCTCGGCCTGCTTGTACCAATATGTTCTTTTTCTTTTCCTCATTCAATTTTTCTTCAGGAGGATATACCCTTAGGGACCCACAGAACCACCAACTTGATCTGGATGGATTGAGCGATCTTGTTTCTCTTTTCCGTCGATATACCGTTCGGAGCTCACTTGCTTCGTCTTGTTCAACATGACCAAGCCATCTTTTTTTATCTCTTTCTTTCCCTCATTGCCGCAGCGCAGCCACAGCGTCGTCACGTCTTTCTCTTCCTGGTCCATTGACTCGCATAATTCATCATTTGTGGCGCCCGGCATCCAGCATTCAAAGAAGTTGCTTTCGACATTTGCTGCATCCTTTTTTGGGGGTTGCGGTCTTTGGAATATATTCGAAAGAAGAACAAAATAATCAACTCGGCGTTGTTTTGTTGTTGGGGTTTTCCTCTCGGTTTTCGACATGTTCATAATACACTATACCCCGTGCGAACTATTCATTCGGAAACGGGAGGGATCAAAACGAGGGCTTGACGAAATTGACGACAAACAACCAACCCCATTAATAATGATGTCCACGATACCACTCTCGGGCGCAGGTTGAAAATAAAGGAGCTTCCAGGTTTCGGTCATTGTCAAGGTTGCCAAACGATCATGGCAACCGCCGGGGTGCGGATGGACGGGGCTATTCAGGAGAAGCTCCCTTCTTTCTTTCTTTTCTTCTTGTGTCGAATGTCATTTTTGTTTCGCTGCTTTCAACAGCCTCTTTGGTTTTTTGTGTTTCGGTATCATTTTTTCACGAAGGTCAATGATTTTTCTTATTCAGTCTCGAGGCTGACTGTGTATCTTATGTCTCCTTGTTGTAATAGGTGGAAGGCTTTGACGTGGGGAGGTCAGGCGAACAAAAACATGGCGGCCACCTGGTTCTTTATTTTTGAAAGGCGATCGTGGCTCGGGTGGCTCTAGAGTGTAAGATGATGGTTCTCGTCATCCAAAGCTCGAGTATCTGGAGAAGCGGAGCCAGGCGGACAGAAAAGCATTCTGCTGCTGTTTCCGTCCATGGAAAATCTGTAACTGTATAGTACGGGAATCTTTGGGATTCCAAATTTCCCATATATAAGCGAAGACGTGGTTGGTGAGGGAAAGGTAAATGGAGTAAATAACTGTATACTATAGCAGCTAGTCACATAAGAAATGATATTTAAAAAAAAAAATACGAGAGTCATTCTCTGGGTGAATTTTGGAAAAGAAAAATGGAGGAGAATAAATTTGCAAAGAGATGATGAAAAGGATGATGATTACTTGTTGAATATGTTTGTTGTACAATTGAAAACGACATACTGGCCGGGGGGGTTCGATATGCCACGTTGAGTCGGGATCCAGTTAGTAAGCACCGAAGAAAAAGAAAGAAAGAAAAGGTGTGTGATTTCATTTGGGACGAAACAACTGCCGCGATATCTTTGATTCGCTCCATGCACTCACTCATCAGGCTGGGGGGGTTGTTCTGCCACCACATAGATGGACGAAGAGGAGTGGGTGGGTTTGCATGTCACGAGGGATAGTTTTCTTGTGCTGACGAGAGCAACGGGTTGGTTGATTGAAAAAGTTGGTGGTGGAGGTGGTGGGCGGCGGCGCAGCGAGGGAGGGAAAATAAAAGAGGAGAGCAGCATATAGAGAGCGCAGAGAGAGGGATAGACAATTGGGGAGGAAAGGGTGTGGTTGCCTCCCCAAGCTAGGAAGGCCGAATAGGATCCTCTAGTCTTCAGATGTCAGGAAAAAACCGACCATGACATGGTGCCCCTCTCAAAGTGGGAGGGGGGTTAAGAGCAATATCAGACGGAAAAGGCCAGTAACGGAGTGAATAATGCCGCTTAAGAGAACCAAAAAGGATTTTGGGGGGGAAAGTGACGAAGTTTGACTGTTTCTAAGTAAATTCGCACATGCGTGAAATCAAGGGGGAAAAAGAGAGAAACGAGGTTGCAGAGTATTCTTTTAGGCCAAACAACATGTGCAGTCGGTTTCGTTTTCCTACTGCGGACGTCGGTTATGCCCTCTGTATTCAGCCTGCAAGTGCCTGACATACATATTTATATGTATATATATACCTTACATACATAGCCGCTGTAGAGCGGATGACACGGTAAGATTGGCTGCTTTCAAAATGGTAAGGATTCTTCCTCCCGCTGCATATTCCCATTTTCTCACCCTCTCGGCCCTTGGAATTCTCAAAAAGGATGCGGGATTCCTGAATCCTACAATCAAAAACATTTCTTTGAGACTCTATTTTTGTGTGGAGTTGGATAATGCTGGTTTCGGGGGTGGGGCCAGAACAAAAAAAAAAAAAAAAAGAAGTTCTGACGGGATTATACCTAGATGGCATGAAACAAGGGTGTGTGTGTGGTGGTTCAAAGTGCCTTTACTATAACGGCAACCCATTCTTACAGCTGAAGCTGGGGGATGGAATTTGTTTGTTGGCCCTCCTTTGGCCACGTCACATGCAGCAACATTTTGAAATTGATTGCCGGCCTTTTCTTTCTTCCACTGACACAGATGTTTATTTTTCATGTCGTCATCTCGGATTAATGTAATGTCTTGGCCATAGACGAGGTTTTATTTCTTCACCATGTAAGCAAGTTCACTTCTCGAGGGCCGCTTCGTCTCAAGGGACAAGACTGCCAAACGAGTCTGACACGTGCAGAGATGTCAAGAAGCGGCGATTTCTGCTGATGGAGAATATATGCTTAAATCACCCAGTATGCATATTTTCACGAACTAGGGTAAACAGACGGAGAGAGTATTGAGCTTCCCGAAATGCTCGCTTCCTCGTTGATAAGAGAGGGGCGCAGAGACGTCCAACATCAGACGAATGACTGATGTTTCTGCTTGGTCCGATGCAAGCCACTATTGAATCTCTTGAACAGAGCATAGATCAAAGACGTGCTTGCTATTATTCATCGTCATGTATATCTGATAATGCAAGCAAGCGGATCTTGGGGGGCAATGATTGTTGTTGAGTCGTGGATATGCTTTTGCTGCCCAACAAACAGCTCACTCTTCCAAGCGCAAATGAAACCAATCCCCAAGTAGCCCTCGAGCTGTGGATATTATATAGTAGCCATTATATGTTGTGATTTGTCTGGTGACTGCACTTGTCCGTGTTCTGACTCTACAGATTCTTTCCATTTTCTTTGGTGCGGCATTAACGTAAAACCCTTACATGTCAAGAAGCGACAAGATGGTTTAGATTCCACGCTGATTGGAATGAAAACGAGACTATGATGGCAGTCATGATACAGAAGTCTCTGGCGGTGTAAAACTTGCAGCTGCACACGGCGCCGAAACATCTTGATACCACTGGGAGGAACGAAGAGGAAAACTTGAGTAAATGCCTACCGAGGTAGATCGACCCGAGCCGTCTTTGATACAAACTTTTTTCATTCTTCGTCTCGTCTTATTCGTTTACATTGTTTATATCGGTGTTGTTGCCTTGTTTTGGTACATCCCTTTCCGCTCTGCCCGCCGCTTTCTGAGCTGTCAACATTCCTCCTCGACTGACATATATTGTACACACAAAGCACGCGCCCAATTCTGCAACGCAAAATCAAGAACATGGCATCAGTTCTGACCTCCACCCTGTCCTGTCTGCGATGAGGACGACACCTGTCCTGATGTCGTGTCCCTGTTGCTTGTATTGTTGCCGCTTGAGAAACTCGTGACTCCCATTGCCAATCTCTCTGTCACTGTGAGCTCGCTGGCCAGATACGACTCGAGCATGACAGATGGGGTCTGTCCAGGCCTGTCCGAAGGAGTCAACACACGGTTAATTTCGAACCTCCCTACGACATTAAACATACCTATTGTTGGACGAAATAGAAGTGAAACCTTGCTGTCCAGGCATGATGCTTTGGTCTTGGAAGAAGGGCGCGACGGATGGGGTATGACAAGAGTTTCGTTACCCTGTGGTGGTACTGACAATGGCTTTCAAGATTCACTCAAGGTCAAATAGAATGCTCAACTGTTTTGATCATACACTTTTTTGATTACTGTGGTGTTGAGCCCGAAATGACCTTTTCAGTCCCAACTTTATATATATATATAGATACCAACGACGCCTTCGCGGCCGCGCACATTTACAGAACCTATAGATCGGCCACGAATTTCTCGCCGGCGATGGGAAATCAACACCTCAACCAAGCGCAGCTTCGCACATGAGTTTCAAGAAACTGTCGGTCTTGCGTACAGGCGACAGCCGGCTGCATAATAGCTTTGTGCGCGCAATCGCAGGTCCAAGGCTCTGCGCGATCGGCAGTGAACAGGCGCCGTCTGCGCGCATCATGATTGGGTTGCCCCAGCCGCACCTGCGCCCTTCCTCCTCCACCTTTGACTTTGAGTGTGTCGCTCGCAATCGCTTTCTGCGCATTTGCGCGTTATCTCTCTGCATCCCTCCCTCCATCCTAGCATAAATAGAGCGCTCAGCAATTCCGATACTCGCCTTCTTCTGTCTGATCAAGAAATCTTCAGCTTCTTGTTTTGCAATTCCGCGTCAACAGAAGACAGGAAGAAATGCGCACATCCTGTGTTATTGATTGAACTCACTCGAAGCAACCATACGTCTTGAGAATATCTTCACCGGCTCCTTTGTCATTACGGCTCTATGCGTGATGTCCTTTCTGCCAAGAAAAATACGACCCTGGAAACTGTAAACCCATCTACTTAAGCCATGCTGGACTATTATTACCCCTTCATTCATGCTGACGACACTTTAGGGAATCCGCCTTATCAGCTTGCCAGCCGATCTGACCTCTTGTCCAATCAAGCACATAGGTCTGGAGAATATGCACAGGAATGCGTTCTTCCCTCGTGGTGGAATAGAGTTGCCGACTTGTGTCGTAATCGAAATTCCACCAGATGTTTATTCTCTATTCAAGATCGCAGAGGAGCGCTGGAAGGGATTGCCTCAGCCCAGCGGGCTGCGAACGTCTCTGATCTTGAAACTGGAAGCGGAGCGGACGAACAGTCAGAAGACCCTCGTTGACTGTGCAGTAATGATCTCAGATACTGACAGAATACAGGCGGTCTGGGATTCGTGCAATCGATGGCTCGCCTCTGTTATTCAAAGCCCCATTGACACTGCACGTTAATATCAAGTCCATATCGAGAGTCTTTGAAAATCACTCTCTAGACTTGGGCTGTCTCCCAAATTGTAATTATCAACTTACACAGCACTCCGGCCTCATGGAGAAACAAAAGTCGGCCACAGCTGCCAAAAAGACTGCCAGTCGCCAATCTGACAGCAAAGGGCATAACATTCGTCCTCCCAACCAGTATATTGCCGTCAAGAGACAAGAAGCTATCGAGGCCGTCATGTCTGCATTCAACATGTGGTTACACAAACAACTCTCGGTGGTATCTTGTGCTGTTGAGGCTACTGACGGATCCGATCCAACCCCTAGCGGGTCCAATACTCGCGACTCGAGTACCAGCAAGTCCAGTGGAACTTCTGGTCGCAGCCGCTCCAAGAGGCAATTGAGTGATGATGGCGACGACAAAAACGGAGCCTCCGAGGGCGGAGATGGTGACAAACACGACGGGGACAGAGGTGGAAATAAACGTGCAAAGAAAGACGTCGGAGCCAAGTTGTTTGCCTGTCCCTTCTACCAGCATGATCCAACATTGGCTTGCTGTTCAAGAGCATGTGCGGGACCAGGCTGGCCTAGTATACATCGCCTCAAGTAGGTTACCGCCTCTTATGACCTGTTGTTGAAATCGAGCATCAATTGGAATCCAACAATACCCATAGGCGGCAATATCGGCTGACCCCAACTGATCTTAGGGAACATCTCACTCGGGTGCACCGACTTCCCAAATACACTTGCCCTCGCTGCTGTGACCCCATGGACGACCAGTCAAAACTCAATGACCACCCAAGGTCGGATACGCCTTGTGAAAAAAGGGACGTCACTCGAATGCAGGGCATCAACGATGCACAAGATAAGAAGCTTCGTGAATGCCGCAAGACAACCGGCACCCTGACTGAAGAGCAGAAGTGGCTGGACATTTACATGATTCTATTTCCAGAAGCTAACCCAAAGGCCTTGCCAAGTCCATGTGAGCATATCTTGAACAGCTGATACTGGTCAGAAAGACATGTACAACTAAATACTGTGTGGACAGACTATAGCAGAGGTCATCTGGGGAACTCTGCCAAGTCAGCGGCGCAGTGGAAGAAGATGAAGAAGCACATTGAAGAAAAGCTACCTCTAGCTGTGAGGACACGCGTTGAGCAGCGATTCGCCGGGGCCCAAGTAAGCAACAGCCTCTCTCCCACTCACTGACGATATTCATGGCGAGAGCTCTCGATACTTGGACACTACACTGACTCCTCCTGTGCGCCCATTAGCTCGAGGTATTACATGATTTGGGTGACATCATCCGAGACGAGATCTTTCAACTATTCCGGGAAATCCCAACAGGGGCTACTACATCATCCACGCCAACGACTCCAAGGCCCCCTTTCCCGCTCTGCCACGCCGAGAGCAGCATCAGATAATAGTCGACCGGAACAACCCATGCACGACCATGACGACCAGACAGAAGAAAATATGGGCGGCTTTGCGCCATATTTTCTCAATTTTTATAATCCCTTTCATCTCCCCGCAGATGTGCCGACGAGCTACGACTCGAACGAGCCTCTGCTTCGACTTGCCGTGGAATGCGCGTCAGACTCGGGGTATGCCTCGGGCAGTTCATTTATTGCGCCAAGTCAAACTCGGTTACCATTTTAGCAAGATTCTGCTCCTCATTTCTCAGAGGGGGGCAAGAGATCCATTCACTTTATTTATACGTGTCAACTTGCTCCTGTCGTGTATTTGGGTGTGCCCACAAGGAAACTCATCAAATTGAAATATACAATATGGTCCTTGTTCATGCCGGCTTTGTAGAAAACTATAATACCATGGAGAGGGGGATAAAAGTAACAGGGTATATCAGAATAATAAAGCCAGCCCCGAAAAGAATAACCAATGGTTCGCTCTCCCTCACCTCCAAATGCGAATTTAGATGTTTCTCTCTTTTCATCATGTCTTAACATGAATTTCCATGTACATACGAGAATTTATCCACAAATATCCGGTTTTGTTTTCAATGTGCGTCGTTAATTGTGTTTTGACTTTTATTTCCTTTTTCTTTCATTCGCTTGATCAATCAATGCCCGTCCAGTCTTTGCCCCAGTCACCACCCTCGGCAGCGTTGCCTTCGGTCGCAGGATCCCAATCGGGCTCGAGGCGCCAGGCGTCCTGTGGCTCAATGCCCATCTCAATGAGGTTGCAGCCGCGGTGTCCCCACTTGTCGGCAAAGACGCGGCGGCCGGCATCAATCATGGTCCGGACACCATCCTCGAACCCGGCAGGGTCGCGGTAAAAGGGCTCGCCGGCGCCACCGCCCTGCTTGGCCTGCCACGTGTTGCGCCAGATGCCGTCGTCGGCCCACTTGGCCTCCTGCATGCGCTCGGCGACAGCAACGAGATGCTGGAAGCTCTCTCCCTCCTTTTCGGTCCAGGCACGAACCTCGTACTCCTGCTTCTGCTCGGCCTCGAGCATGGGCCGGTTGGGATCGTTGAACAGCGGATCGCCTTCAAAGCTGGCGTGGGCACGCGGTATCCGGAAGAGGGCGCCTACGTCGTCGAGACGTGAGTTGACGTCAAAGACCAGTCCGGCCTCGCTCTGCGGCTGCCAGTAGCCGGCCCAGTGGAGGCGGAGGTACATGTCGCAGTCGGAGCCGTAGAATGGGATGTGGGTATCCCAAGCGCCGACCTCGAGATAGGCGTCGCGCTTGACCAGGGTGAGGTGGTCGTAGGCAAAGAAATGCGTGGCCCATGGGGGCATATCGGGCCCATTGAGGTAGCGGAGCAGACCTACGGCTCGCTCGTAGATGGTGGCGTAGGGGTCCTGGTCATAGTCGTGATCGCGGTCCTTCTTCTGAACCTCCTCATCTGAAAAGACAATAACGTCCTGGTGACTCCAGAAGAAATTCTCCCAGCCCCGCTGGAGGGCAATATTGAGATAGTAATTCTGCAACTGGGCAAAGGACAGAAGCGTCGGTGTCGTGATTACGTGCACACCAAGCAATTTAAGCTGGGCGTGGTCGAGGAAGAAGGGATTCTGTAGGGTGAGCTTTGCGTCCTTGTTGGCGCGGAATGTGCCAGTATTTTCGACGACGAATATGTCATCTGCAGGCCAACCAGCTGCGATATAGCTCGCTACACACTGCAAGAGCATTGGCCAGTTTCTCGTAAATCCGATGAACAATGGCGTGTGCTCGGGCACGTGAGGGTTTGGCGGCAGGTTGTCGGGCAACATGGGCGGCGCCCTCTTGTTCACCGTCAACCACGGGAAGGGGTCCTCGATTTTCGCATAGCCCAGCGGCATGGGTTTGTACACTTTTTCTCTGGGTGCTGCATCCTCTGTCGGTGACTGTTGTGGTCCAGCGACTGCTCCCTGGCCGTCATTGACTGGGCCGGTCAGCGGGACAGCGGCGTCGGCTGCATTGGCCGCCTGGTCGGCATTTGGCTGTTGTAGATGGGGTCCGCGGTGGTGGTGCAGAGCCGGATACAAAAAGAGGCAGTAAATCAACAAGGCGGCGCAAAGGGCCAGACTGTAGCGTGTAATAAGAGGCCGGGTAGGCACCCGCCTCATGAGCTCTTCCGCCTTTGACATTTGAAGCACTACTGCTGCTGCTGCTGCTGCCGGTGCTAGTATTATAAGACCATGATTGACGGCGGCTGCGCCCCGTGTCTCTGATTGAAATAATAGTGTGGGGGAGAGGAACACGTTTTTCTTTTGGTCTCTGCCGTCAATTGAGCAAAGCTTCGGACGAAAAGACGACGAATACCCGCTGCGTGTCTCTGGAGTAGGTCGGTCCTGCAGGCGACTACCACTGACTGACTGGGTCTCAGGTACCAAGCAGATATATGGAGGTAATGGTAGCCAAAAGTTATGCAATCGTAATCAGATAAGGATGACGCGGCGTCCCCTTCAGTTGGCGCAAAGAAACAACCTCCCCCCGCGAAGCCGTGCGTTTTGACCTGATTATAAGCTAGGTTCTGTACGCGTTTTCCTTGCCAAAAGTAATGGAGCCAGCTGTAACGGTTTTTTCTTCTTTTATCAATGGCGAGAGACGACAGGCAATTGGATCATGACGACTTCCAGAGCCTAGGTAAGTAGCAAAGAGTGAGCTCAAGCCCCCAAAACTTTGTCTAGTACAAATGAGTCTAAGCAAAGTACAAGAAGAATAAAAAGATGGGATGAAAAAAAAAAAAGGACGGATGAAGTAGGAAGAGGATGAATGCGAAGAGGAGAGAGAAAGAGAGAGGGATAAAAAAAAAGGTGTGATCCAAGCTCCTTACCTACTTTAGTCCGAAACGCACAGCACACATGGGCGTCGTTCTTCTTTGCAACGGAAAGAGAGAGAAGGGGGAAAAAAAGGAATGATTTGAAAAACGGTTGTGTACTTTTCTCAGTTTATCATCTGCAACTACCTGGCAAGTAACAGCAGCAAGCAGCAAGCAGCCAGCAAAGCCATGCATGCAATTAATTAATTCAAGCGAACGAGCGGCGAACAAGCAACCAACGTGCGACCTTAGCAGTAGTCCTGAGAATATGGTTTTTTTTTTTTTCGTTCTGGTCTCCATGTACAAATCAAATCAGGGGTGTGGTAAAGAGAGGGTGGATTTCCGGTTGGTTCACGTTGGCTGCTGCTGCTAGCTAGCTTCTGCTGGGGCTTTCTTTCCCTTGTCGATCGGCGTTCCTCTGCTGCTCGCTCCTTGGCTCCCCTTCCAGTAGATTGCCAAGACGGCAGATAGGCCACTTTTTTTTTTTTGTGGTGCACTGCACGCAAGCAGTACCTGGCCTAGCGCAATGTAGGTACCCAGAGGATAGTGTAGCACTGTTGTAGTGTATTCTGTGCAGGAGGGGGGAAGGGGATATCCCTCTGAAGTGCTTCTCTCGTAGCAGCAACCGACTTGGCGGAAAAAAAAAAAGGCTTATCGAAGATCCCCGAGATGGGTGATCAGAAAAGGGCCAATGCTGGCTGGAATGGATTACTGTGTATGATATGCTTTGGGGCTTGGGGGGCTGGTGGGATTTGGAGGGCCATGTATCTTTGATTTTGTCCCGGTATTGATTGAGGCTCCATTACATTACATCACATACAGGCTGAAGGAAGAGGAGGCGGAGGAGGAAGAGGAGGAGGAGAAGGATGGAGGAACATTGAAGCTTGCTGCTCCTGCTACTTTTTACTGTGTACTACTGCAAGCATGCAAGCCTACAATATACATTCACATTATAATTACCTCCATTATCTAGGTACTCATCTGCAACCTCTACCCATTACCTACACCACTTTGATCTCCACCTGCCCGCTTCAGAGAGAGACTTGGTCTCCCAAGAAGAGGCCAAGAGTTCTTAATGAATTGCTGGGCGCCTTGTTTTTTTGACTGCTGCTGCTTCTTCTTTTTCTCTAGTTGGGGCCTTGCATGGTAGTGTTCCTTAGTCCAGAGGGGGATCGATCAATCAGGTCAAAAGGACTCTAGGGTTCATCCGCTCCCCCATCTCCCCAGTAAAGGCAAGGAAAGGATACCAGGTAGCCACGAGGGGTGTCCTCGGGGGGTCGGATCTGATTCTGTTCTGGCCAGCTTGCATCCCCAATCAATCTTATTCGTACTGCCTACTGTGTACGAGCTACCTGCTGCTACCTACCTCCATCATTTCATCATGTCATGTTGTGTTTACGCCAGATTGTCATGTTGGATTGTAAACAGGATTCGACCAAACAGGATTCGACCAAACAGGATTCGACCAAACAGGATTCCGAACAGTCGAGATGCTGCGGCTGGAATTAGAATAAACTTATTTTTGAGCCGCTTAGCATATGGTTCACTCTTAATTGTCTTTCTTGCTTATTTTTGGCCGTTTATGCTCGCTGTGCAGTTTTTTTTTTAAGCTTCTTCTACAGCTTTAAATCATCCATCGTTCCAGAACAACAAGTTGGTTAGGTAGGTTTAAGCTCCCTTCCAGCGTTAGGTCCCAGATTTTAGGTTCTTGTCCACTTGGCCTAGTTAGTGCACATGCGCGTACGAGCAGCTAGCGCTACACATGCCATCTACTGCACATGTAATGTGTGTGTGCATTTATATAAGCTTACACGAGAATGGGCGATAATTCGTCTCTACGAAGTACACACATATATACATACAATAGCAGATTGCTTTTGAGTTTGGTTGTCTCATTCTCTCTCTTTTTTCGTCTGAACTTCTCTATTATATGCAGGAAGAAGAATCAGGAGGAACAAATATCTCGCACCAATCAATCCGCTTGAACATCAAGGTGATCTGCACTGGATGCAACGCACGCCACTTTTCAATCTCCAATCTGCAGAAGGGGGGGAGACATTAGCCAGCTGAGACGCACCTGTTGCCTGGGGAAATCTCCCCTTACAATTGCCCAGACCGAGAAGGACTTAGGGGGGGACGTAAAAGAAAAACATTTGAAAGGACAAGAGATTATATGGTATATAATACTCTATAGTATCCGCCAGGCCTTGTGTATACTGTATTGTATTATACCCGAGCATTCTTTATTTGTAAAAATAGCTAAGCGACACCAAGAAAAAGGCGACGCCCGCTAGATAGGCTGTAGAATCTGGATACGACGCCCGACGACGCATCAGCAATTCAACAAACATGAGCATAATCGGATTTAGGTTAAGCGAACCACCACCCCCGGGGGAGCCGCCCACCCTCTCGTTCGGGTCCTCGGGAAACGGACGAAAAAGATTGCATGGCTTTTTTCGTTCGCTGTCCTTTTCTGTCTTGTCGGGTTGGGGCGCTCTACCTACCTATTTCGGAAACGAAGAAAAAAAATAAAAGCATCCCTGGATGTGAAGAGGTGGCGGGAGGACGGGCACCCAAATTCTGTACAGACAATTCACTTTTGGCTGGCCAGCCGCAACCTCGCCTAATATCGATTTGGGGAGGGAAACCTCAACGTCGTATCTCCGTCCGGGCATCCGAACAATCGGCAGCATGTGCCTGGCTGGTCAGTATAATGGAAGAATGCGTGGCAGGTAGAGAAGCTCCTCCCCCCTTCAAAGTATGTATGCATTGCCTATCATGTGTTTGTATTATGTGCCCAATCTCTTGCACAAGCTCGATAGAGAGTCTCTTCTCAGTCGGGCAATTGCATCGCACACAAATGAACACATGTTTTGGTGCTCTTATCTATATCTCGTAATGGAAGACGGTCCTCCGAACCGACCCCGAAAGAGGCATTGTGTAGATCAAACAGGTACAAGCGAACATCTTGGAAGCAGAAGAATAAGAAAAAGCAAAACTTTGATGCTCGGCACATGCTGTGTCATGTCAAATCCAAAACTTCCCGATCTCGGGTAGATATCCCCACAGTCTTGGTAACTCCCATGCAAAATCGAGGTAATGAAGGTGAATGAAAGATGAGCAGGGCGCAAACGTAACTATTAGGTCGGTTTGAATTGTTGTTTCCTCGCTTTCTATGATTGTGCTCTTTCGACTCGTCAACAGCACACAACCTATAGTACAGTGTAGTATAACCCCCTCGTCCCCTGAACTATTCTTTGGCCATACCATCGTGACGGCCAGTGAATGAAAAGAAGACCAAATACAAAGAATCGGACAATAAAAGGTAATGTACAGAGAAGGGAAAAAAGGTATTTGTTGGGCCAGTCAAATTGCAAAGGTAATACCGTCCTTCAAGCCTCGACAAATAGTCGCATGTCTAGATCGTCAAGGCCGTGTACGTAGCACGCCAATTGTATCGGAACACAACTGACAAGGAACACGGACCTTCTGTCGAGATCACCCTCCTATGTGTATCCTGAACACCTATTTTGTACAACATCTCGTTTTTCTTTTCTTTGTAACAACAAGGTCCATATCCCAACCTCTCGCAAATGGTATCTCGTCAAAAACAAACAAAAGAACATTATCACATCTAACCAGATGCCTGCCACAGTCATGAGTTAATCGTCTCCTAAGCTTACTTTCTTTTCTTTTTCTTTTGCATGTTTTACTCCTCCTCGACCCCGCCTATGAAGCCGTTGGGCTTTCCTCGTTTGCTTCCGCCGAGCTTCAACAAGCTCAGCCGTTTTCTAACGCTTCCAAGTCTCGGCGTGCCGCTGTCAAACGCTTTCTCGGAGCCCTTCTCCGCAACGCCAACCCTTTCACTGCTCTTGGGCGGTATGTCGTGCGCCCAATCAGGTGTGCCGTGTTCTGGGCTGTCATGAGGGTGGCCAAAAGGTTTGGCGCTGATGATGGTCTCATGCGATGAAGGGCCGCGGAAGAAGCTCCTCCTATTCTCCTTGCCCATGCTGCGCTGACTTCCCGGGTGGCTACTTGGCGTCGTGTTGGAGTCGTTCTCATGCAATCCGATGACGCCCTCACCATTCGACTCTCGAGATTCTTTGCGTCGGCCACCAAGGAAACTGAGCCGAGTACCTCGTTGCTTAACAGAGATGGGCTGTACGGTTGCCGCTTCCTCTACAACGCCACCGCCAAGGACGTATGCATTTCCGTCGCCCTGCTGCTTAATCGGGGAGCTCTCATTGACGGGAGAAGCCTTGCGCCATGTTGGAGACGGCACAGATGAGTTGACATCTCGCACGGGTTGAGTCGGACTGAAGATTTCAATCTCTGGTGCAAATGTTTGCTCAAACACTGCACTCTGATTAGCATCACATGACCAAGTCACATTAAGCGAAACAAACTTACGTGGATACAGATCCTTGTATCCATTGGTGAGGATCGTATTTCTGCTCTGTGAGAAATTTGTCAAACATCTCTTGATCATGATGGCATGGTCGACGAGCGCCATCTTGATAGCCGTCTCTTGTTCGTTCAGCTCGGGCTCATCAACTTCGCCGTTTTCATCGTCCTCATCATCCGTGTCTGGACTGGGCAGAAGTTGTCGATAGCATACCACACTGTTCTCGGACTCGGGGTTGATTGAAACGCCAATAGCATCCACAAGAAGCTGTGCAACGCTGTCGTCCTCGGACAGTCGCTTTTCCACCGTGGTCATCTCTTGTGTCTTGCGCACGATGCGCTCAATGGCCGTCTCCTTAGCGCCCAGTTGAAGCTCCTCGACCTGGACAATCTCGCTGCGGCGCAAGATGGTCGGGAACGACTCTGCTGTGTGGTACAGAATCTTCTCGGCATGGTGCTCGTGGACAGGGCCAGACGTATTGCGCTTGGAAGTGATGGAGAACAATTGTGGATGGGCTGAGAGGAGGTAGTCACGGATGGCTTGAGGAACCTTGGCACGTTGGAATACATGATGCGTCAGGTCTCTGTGCGGGCTCAGCGAGGTGATGACCAAGAATTGTCCCTCAACTTCGCTGTCCACATCGCCAGTGGTCAAGACTTGAGCAGCCGGGTACTGCTCCTGCATACGATCCGTGAATGCAGATGTTCTCTCCGTAGGGGAACCTTCATAAACGAATTCCTTGTCGCGCAGACTTGGTGGGAAGCCCAAACCCTTGAAGACAACCTTGAAGTATTTGGGCACCAGCTTGTCGCTCTTGGTGAGCGTCTCGTAAATGTTGGCAATGGCGCGCTCCGTCCTTGCAAGCTTTGCAAATTCAAAGACATTGTTTTCGTATTGATACTGGAGTTCCTTGTAGGCGGCAAGTGCACTACTCCAAGCCTCACCTTCTTCAAAGTGCTTAATCATGTCGAAGTAGATGCGTTCTTTGCGCTCAAAGTGAGTTTGCGCCGGGAATGCGGGATCCGACAAGGCACTCGTAATCTTAACCGGGTTCCAGTCGTAGAGTTCCGCGTGCAGACGCAATGCCAAGCCAGCTTCCGCATGATTTCTAGCACCTGCTTGGAGCCTGGCAAGCTGATGTACGTATCGTATAAAGATCTCCTCTTTTTGCATGTCACGCAAGAACTCCATTAGTCTGAGGCGACTGATGAGTTGTGAAGCAGCACTACCGCCCTCTCCGCTGTGAACAGCAACCAGCAGGTCCAGGAACTCGTCAACTGTGCCAATCAGATCTTGGAGCGCAGTGTACAGCGGCTCGCCCTCAACCTGAGACAAGGGCGCAAAGCGATCAAGAAGTTCCGTGATGAACAACTTTTGGAGAACGCTCTCGGTGATTTGCTTGTCCTTGAAGTAGAAATCCAGGTAGTCGATCATCTCCATTTGGATTGCTGACAGATCCTCGCTCAATGTCCACTCGCTGACAATCATGGTTTGCAAAACTTCAACGGCCATCTTTCTGAGGCCTTCATGCACGCTGAGACAAAGCTCAACAATAGGCCCCACAAGCGTGGGCACATATTGAACCTGGTAGCCGCCCATTTTGTCGAGTCCATAACGCGTACGTTCGTCGGGCGTTGCGTCCCAACCAATTGCCTCCCAAGTCCGTCGAAGGAGCTCGGCACCATGCTCTCTGACATCGCCAGCAATCTTCCAAACCGCGCGACGTTTTTGTTCTGGGAAGGTCTCAAGAGCCAAGCAGCCGTTACTAACCAGTTTAAGGAGAGTAGTGAAGAACATTTTCCACAGTTCGGTGTTGAAACCCTCGGCCTCGTCGGGATCGGGCAGGCAGCTGTCCAAAAGGATACTGGCAAGATATTGCAATGACTTCATCACGGATTTGTGGTGGAAAATGTGGACGCTCAGCCACGTTGAGGGGAAGGCCTCGCCCTGTAGGATGCTCATGTGTACTTGTAAAGCGTTGTGTACATGTGTGGCAACGTCGCCATCCGCCAGCTCTAGCTGCATACCGCTCGGCGAGTTGGAAAGGGCCGATAAGACAGCTGAAAGCTCAATGAGAGCTTCGTCAAACTGGGCGGTTCCATTGATTGCCTTGGTTGGAAATGGGTAGGAGGAAGGGAAGAGAAGAGATAGCCGCGCCTTTGGCTTGAGCTCCGTTTGCTGGATGGCTAGGTACGACTCGAGAATCTTTGGGATGTAGTCGGGGATCTCGGGTCCAAGGTGATATACCTGGCTTGCGAGCACAGAGCAACACAGGCGCACTTGTTCCTTCCACTGGTCAGAGACGACATCTGGAGTGCCCCAGTGAGGGGCGATCCAGCGGACAGTGTTGGCACATAGGGCTTGACGCTGCTCTGGGTTCGAAAACAAATCAAGTTTGGAATAGTTGATGATGAGAACCAACTTATAGAGAACCAATTTGCCTTTGACTGAAGTACAGGAGTCCATGAAGTCAATGGCGATGTGAAGGATCTCCTCAGTCGTCAACAACCCCGTAAGTTCTGGCAACCACGTATGGAAATGTTGGACCGCGAGTGTCTGACTGCCTACAAGTACTGCTTTGTTGCTTCGCATCATCGCGTCCAATGCCTTAAAAATAGACTGTAGATGGCGAGTGAAGCCGGGATTGGTGCTAGTAATACCGATGTCGGCTTCCTTGACTTTCTGTTGACCGCGGGCATGTGTGATGAACTTAAGTATGTGCCTGACAACTTTGAGCGTTGCTCTCAGCTTTCTTGCAGACTCAGGCTCAGTCGGTTTCGATAGTAGCCGGGTAAAAGATCGGACAAGACACGGCGTGGCGAACGGGTAATTAAACTTCTTCTCGGCGTACTGGTCCACAAGTGGAATAAGGTTGAATCTTCGGTCGTGGACAATTCCAAGAACACGAACAAGAGCCATGAATACCAAGTCTTCGTACTCATCGTTGTTCTGATACTCCACCAGAATGCCAAAGAGGGCGTCGAGCACATCGCTCAGCAGCTTGACCACCTCGATTTCTGGCACAAAGATCAACTGCTTCAACAGATGGGGGATATCTTCTTTGGGTTGCTCTTTCCACCTCAGCAAGCCAAGAACTGTTCGGTCTTGCGAAAATCGGGTGCTGCACAAGTATGTTTGTACCCTCAAGGCGGCAAGCGGTCCGGTCACATCGCTTGGTTCGTTCCTAGTGCCCCATGGTAGAGTGAGGTAGCCTCCTCTACCGCTGGGCCCAGCGTGCGGCGTCTGCGTAAACTCGTCTAGCTTATAGAGCAGCAGTGTATGAGGGCCGTCTTTCACAAATGCCTGTTGATCCCACAGTGGAATGTAGCTTACAGCAAATGGCGCATTGGGCAGATCCGATAGAGTCATCAACACATGACACGACATCACATCGGACGGCTCAAGCGAAAGCCGTAGCGTCTGCCTCCAAGGCTCGCCTCGTTCAACTGCAAAGGACCTCCAGGTTGTAAGGACCTCGCCATTTGATGAGGGGAAGATGCAGTTCTCAATCTTTTCGCCCGATGGCCGCCGGACCTCTAGACTCAGGACCAAGTTTCCACCATGGACATTACCCGAAATGGATGTTGCACTACCACCGAATCGTGATATTAAATTCTGGCGGGAGAGCAGGGCCTGATCCAGGGTGATATAAATATCAGATCTGGGTTTCGTGGGTGCACCAGAGAAGCCCATTTTGTTCGTTTTTGTGATACCTGACAATAAAGTTGGGGTTGACTTGATAAGAGCATCGGCATCGGCGCTGTCAAATGCCTTGAGCTGCACCTGTAATCGATCTGCTCTCCGCGACTTTTCGTACTGCCCAGACTTACTGTCCAGTAGGTGGTTGATCAAGTCGTCCCAATCGTCGCCATGCTCCGGCTGCTCTGCTGTGAATCTTGTGGATGGCGACCATATCGTCATGACGTGTTCACTCTCGTCGGGCTGCTTCATGATTTGGTTCAATTTCAAGACCCCCATGCCCACCATGCGCTCTGCCACCATATTGACTGACTGGGAGCCTTCTGCTGACACGGAAGCGGTCCTAGAGTTTGCCGTACCAGGGGGTAAACTGCCGTCTCTGCTCTCTTGGGTGTCGGTATTCGGTCGTTCCTCTTGCTCGGATAGCGCATCAAGTTTCATTCCTCCCCTAGAGAATGCTGACCTTGTCGATCCCCATACCATGCTCCTTCGAGAAGACTTACTCCCGCCAGACGAGACTGGTGTCTTTTCCTTGGAGAATCCCGACATTGCCTGAGCTACTGTTCCGGATCGCGATGGTGGCTTTCCAACAACTACCTGCTGGGGCGCACGAACCTTGACAACCAAGTAAAGTTCTGAATCCGCGGACGGCAGGTCGCCAATCTCGCTGGATGCCAAATCCGCGAAAAGCGTGCGCATCTGAGTGTTTCGCGCCATGTGGCCCATTGTACCACCAGCTGGCACCTCGATCACGTAGCTTTCCGAGAGAGCGACGGGGAAACCTCCGATGGGTTTGCTCACGAGGTAAACCACCAAAGTCGTAGCTTCATTAGAAGAGCCAGCAAAACTCTTGACGTCGACGAGAAGATGGTGCAAAGCCGTAAGTTCCACATTGGGCTGGGGCGGTTCGTCCAGTAGACTCATGACCGACTGTAATTTGGTGATTTCGACAACCGAGTCGTCGCCAGTCAAAACCCGTCCGCGTTGGCTCGGGTCACGTACTATCACCTCTCCACCACACAGCTTGTTGCCCTTAACCAGATCCCAAACGGTCTTTTCGCGTAAAGCGTCGTACTCGGTGGCTGTCAGCACATTGTGTAAAAACTGTCGCCGCGATAAATCGAGAGTATTAATTAGCTGTGAGACTTTTTCTAATTTGGCATACTGGCGGGTTAGGAGAAGCTCATGCAGGTTGGTCGAGTGCCATTCGCGCAGGCACGAGGCTATCTCGTCGATCAACGGCTCTGATATAGATGTGGGCGTCTCGTCGCCAATCTTGAGCATCGGCACGGGAGCAGGCGGCTTGGGGGCGCCAGGTTCCCGAGTCGCTGGTACCGAGAGTCCGACTGGGGTGCCGCCGCGGTGAGAGATGGGACTCGCAGGCGAAGAAGAGGAGCCGGTATTGTTCTTAGACTTGCCGGGGCTCGACCTTGTGCGTTTCTTCTCGATGCTGGCAACCCCACTCTTGCCAGAATCGCTGCCAAAGCGCGCGGCTTCCTCCTCGCCTGCGTAGCTAGCATTGTCGTCGGTTGAAGCTTCGTCGCTCTCCCCCAGGACCTCGCGGATTTCTACACAGCTCCGCGGGAAAATACCAGAGAAGACGCGTGCTTCCAGCGTCTGGCCTTTGGAGGAAGTCAAGCCAGCCAATAGCGAAGGTGGGGCTAACAGGTACCCGCGCAGCCATTGGCCGTCGGGGGTTTCTTCAATGATGTATAGGTCATCGCCGATTTCGAGGGGGAGTTCATTGTCGGCCTGGGTGCTGAAGGGATAGGTCGCGACGGCGAAAGCAATGCGCGGCAACGGCTGCCACGGCATTGGATCAGTCAATTGAGCGTGTCGGTCGCGCCGAGGCTACTGGCGCGATCGATCGCATAAAGAAGTTGCTGTTGTCTGTCGATAACGAGGCAGGGCGATGCCACGACTGCGCTTCTGACTAATCAGATCGGCCAAGTATCTCGGACAGAGAAGAGAGGGAGAGAGAAATTATAACGGAGGCGGCACCGAATCGGAAGAAAAATAAAATAAAATAAACGCGGGGAGGATCCAGCGGTGTTTCAGCACGATAGGAAACCAGGTTGCTACGATAAAGCGGCTCGCAAGTCCGTGATATGCTGATCGTGTATATCTTCGCGGTGCGCGTCGTGTCGTGTCGGGTCGGGCCGTCGGGTGTGGTTGTAGAATAGGCGAAAGGTGGCCAGGAGAAGAAAGGAAGTTATCGTCGGACGTGTATGTAGGTTGAACCAGGGTGGAATGACGGAAATGAATCTCTCCCAAGGGATGGGCAGAACGAGTGAAGGCGGAGCAATGGGGTTGCTCGTTTGAAGATTAGTATTGTACTAGATCATAGAAGGAGAAAAAAAAGAAGAAGACTAGAAGGGTATTGGAATGCAGAAAATGTGCTGCTTTGCAACGCCCGTCCCAGAGGAAAAAAGAGGTCAAGATCGAGAGAAGAGCTCGAGACACAACAAGGAGGTGCAGAGAATACTCTGTACCAACTAGGTACGATGCCGAGCTTCGTCGCAAGATAGTGAACTCCAAAAAGTCACTCCCCAAACCACGACCAACACACGACCCAGATTGGTTAGGTAGGTAGGTAAATGTAGGCAAGCCCCCCCGTCTAGGTGCACTACAGCAGCAGTAGGTCGGACGCTCGGTTGCAAACAGACACAAGCAGACACATGGAACGTCTGTCTAGAGTTAGTCGTTGGGTCCAAAACATGAAGACCCGGGAGCGAGTGCCAGATTTGCTGCAAGGGTATCCCTAGGTGGGCTATTTGGGGGGCTTCTAAGTTCTAAGGGGACCCTCATACGAATGGAGCCAAAAGGGTAAAATTGAAATGTATGTTTGGAGTCTCCACGAACGCTATTAGGCCGCCGTGTGGCTGCGAGGGAAAATTGACCTGGTCGGTCCCCTGACGAGATTTGACCACCACAACCACCCCCATGGGAATTTGGAACAAATCACCAATCCAACTATCATTTGCCGACTTGTTATTTATTATTATCATCAACATCAGTTACCTGGGTACGTGGTAGCTAAGCTAGAGTACCTAGGGGACGAATCGCCAAGGGCCTTGATCGTGAAGTGACCTTCCATTGCGGCAACATCCCTCCTTGAGCCGCCCTTCTTCAGGATCGATAGAGATGGTTCGATCTGAATACCCAGTGATTGATTCCGTACATCCCCAGTAAACCCCTATGCAATTCGCACGGGGCTGGTCACCTATGAAGTAAAAGCAAGTATCCATTGGCGGTTCACAGTCAGACTCTTTTTTGTCTTCAACGTTTTTTTTCTGTCTTGCACAACCTCGGGCGTTGACAACCAACCCAGCCATGATGCATGCAAGCACTTACGCCTACAGGATTTCGCCTGCATGTCGCAAATGCTCAAAGGTACCTTGAAAGGGATGGAACGCGGATGGGAGCGTTAGCGACTGTACCGGCCTGGCACTCTTTTCATTGCCTCTATCACATACGTGCATTAGGCAATTTGGGTATTATGTCGATCATTGCTTGCTTTCACTCACTACATACAATGCAATATGTCCATGGCCATGGAAAACACAAAACTCTACCAGTATGCTATTTTGACGTCCAACACAGTCATGACCTGGTGATTTAAATTCGCTATTTCAATGTGCCAATAGGTGAAAAAGTGCAACACAATCATAGCATACCCAGGTAACATAAAGGTGGTACAAGCCCGTACGCCACGTTCATCGAATGGGAACATGTCTCGGAGCCGGCCTGGCTTCCCCGCCGCGCCGCATCTCAGATTTCCTGCCATTATTTATTGATTCTTCTTTGCGACGATCCCAGATCTCCGGCTCAAGTACGCCATTTCTCTTTCCCATCCTCATAACCGCATGACTGTTGAAAAAAGGCTTTCCCCCTGCAGAAAAAGTACGACTCGTTATTGGAAAATGGGAGCAACGGAAGGAGGGGGAGAATCAATGATGCTGTCATTTGTTTGCAAAGCACGCCCAAAACCCTCTATCGTCGATACAAGCACATGCTCACAAAAAAAACAACACCAGCAGAAAACCACACCCCACAGCATAAGCCCGGAAGGAAGCCCTTGCATCTTACACTCAATGCCGCTGGTATCTCGTCCAATGGAAGCAGTCCCGCGGCCCCCAGTTGGGTCGCTATGGGGCGCGTTCCTGCATTGGGGCGTGTCCAAGGCAGTACGTAGATCTGGAGTTGGGCTTTATAGTAATAAGGGTAGTTAGTAAATTCCAGATGATCACTACAATTACTTTTCTCTCTAGACGACGCCGCACGGAGAGAAGGAATATCATTTCGGCAACGGAGAATTCTCGCGTGGAGAAGGTCGTTTATACTTTCAATAATAAAAAAGCCCAACGAGCAGCATCTCGTCTAGCCCATGCGGCGCTAGAAACGTGGGCTATTCTTCGCATAGAAAAAAAACGCCCGCGTTCCCTGTCAATGAATAGCGTGCTGGTCCGGTCCTCACGGTAGTCGCGTACACTACACAGTATGCTTTGCTCGCGTCTTTTTTCAAAGTGGTTTAAGAATCGAATTTGCCTTCTAATTTCTCCTCCGAAGCGACCCCTATTTGTTTCAACGGCCGAGATTCTAGCGTACTTCTGACGGAGAAAAGGACAAGCAATTGGCTCATTGTGCGTGATGAGCTACAGAGCGGTTGGGAGCCTCACAGGTGAAAACATATTATACACTCGCACAATCGACAAAGTGTTTCATATATTGGCCATAGATGGTAGAAGACCCTGGATAGCTTCAGCCGCGGTTTATAGCGTATACAGAGGTTAGAAAAGGTTCGTCAACGCCTGGGCTAATATCCCGTGTCTCTCCCTAGCAATCCGCCGCATCTTATCCTGTCTCATTGCGGCTATGTCTCTACTCGAAACTCTGCCGAAGGAAACCAAAGGCAAGGCGCTGTAGCTACCTTTTAGACCTACCTATGCAGGTCATATGCCAATGTGCATGCTTTTTTCTTTCCACCGCTTGCTTCCGCCGATTGAACTGTCCTCGCCTTGCTGTATCACACAAAAGCCTGAACATTTTGCAATAGAATGACGTTTCTCTATATACTCGATACATTTTGATGACAATACTATCGCAGCGATGCAAATATCTAACAAATAAAAGATACAAATGGATATGAGATTGGCTATCCAATCATTATCCTCTTGGCCAAAAATGTGACTCCATCCAGCTTGCCAGTTATATCGTAAGACTTTTGACTAATTTTGTCTTAGAGCTCGCCGACAGGCAACGCTGCCGTCCCGTTACCAGCCCCTTCGCCGTCGTGTAGTTTCTCAAACGCTTCCCGGTACGCAAACACAAAGTTGAGTATCAGGGCGATCATCAATGCAACACTGACAAACATGGGCCCGATCATATTGTCAAAATCTTTGCCACTGCGCTCGATAATCATGCTCTGTCGCTTGTGGAACATTGTGTAGCCCCAGAGTCCCGCCGCTGCAGCAATGGCAACATAGGCGATACCCATGCATTCTGCCAGGAAGTTTTTACCCGCAGCAGTGTAGAGACCAACGGCAAGAGTGCCCAACAGTACCGAAATGTGTTGCCACTTCAGGAACGTACGTTCGTTGGCAAGCCAGACCTTGGGCTCGACCTTGAGTTCGCCTTCGTTCTTGATCCAGGCCGTGGGCTCAATGACACCCTCTGGCAGCTTGACGCGATCACGGCGAAGGCGTGCATAACTGCCAATGGAGAAGCTTGGCAAGATCTTGCCCAGTGTGCCATAGTTCTGCCGGCCATTCTCTTCTCCATCTGGGTGCTCATCATCCTCTGCTTGCTCGTCCGCGGGAGGAGCAGGTTGGTCGCGCCCTTGATTCGCCTGGTCTTCGGCTTGCACACGTTGTGCCAGGTATGACTGACCGACGGGTGAGCTTGTTGCAGGTATGTATGATCCTGCCGCAGCCGCTGCTTTGTACGAGGCGGAACCCTTGCCCAGGAAACTACCAACAACTTGCGCGTCTTCTGCACGACGGGCTTTTCTCTGTTCTTCCTCATCAAACGCCTGCTTGGGGCTCTTGCGAATGTCCCTCTCAAGGTCGCTGAGCCAGAAAGGAAGATTGTTGACGTAGTCTTCAAATAGAGATGCTACACCATGGACAAACTTTGAAAAGCGCGGCGCGGAGTGGACCAGGTGCGACCCAATCAAATCTTCAACCCAAGCTGGCTTTCTTCGGTTGGCATCCTCCTTGACCTTGATCTCAAGTAGTGCATATGGAAACTTGGCGACTTCGCTCTGGTTGATGTTCTTAAAGGGATATGACATGTTGCTGTCGTCAATATCCCGTCGATGCCAGCTACCTGGATCACGGCAGGGTCTATCACGGTCGAGAGTATCTTCGCGGATGAAGGCAATGTCGGAGTCGATGGAAATCCTGACACGATCATCTGCGGGCTTCTGGAAGGCCGTGCGTGTGTAGACTGCCCTGAGGACTGGCTCTAGCTTGTTCTTGGTGATGAAGTCCTGGATTTCCTCAGCAGTCGTCTTGAATGCCTTGATCGTTTCCGGCTGCTGCCCCTGACGCTCCATCTTTTGAATTGTCTTCTCCATCTTGTACTCGCCATCGATGAATTGCTTGATATACTTATCCTTGATGTTGATCTTCTTTTCCTCACTCGTACCATTTTCATAAATGATCTTTTGCTCCAAGAAAATATCGGGCTTTGTGCTCAATTGACCATACCACCGCAGGCGCAACGAAGAGGCGTCCACTTGATGCTCAACCTTGCGCATGTACAGGTCGAACTTGGAGTTGTCCAAGTAGAGAGATGTAATGGAAGGGTCTTCATTTCCGTCCAATTCCTTTGCAGATGAGTCGCTGTAAACGAGAGCAGGGAGGCGCCGCAAGATATACGTCTTGACCTCGAGTAGGTTGTCTTGGTGGACCCAGACTAGATGATACGTCAATTAGCCAACTTTGTTTGATCGATGCGCAACACATTGAACCTAGGGACCACTTACATTTGTGTGCAGTATATCTCTCTCCATTCTTTACTTCTTCCTGGTGTTCCAAGTCTGGTGGCGCCGTTTGTTCGCCTCCAGCCTCGAGGTTGGAGTCAATGATGTAGTAAATGGTTGAGAGTTTCTTGAGCAGCGGCGAGTATTCCTTTTCGGCATTGAGGCCGCGCTCGGACAAGCGAAGCTTCATCAGCGGGCGGACCTTGTATCTGTCGCCACGCTTACGGTCGTGCTTCTTGACAATCTTGAGAAAACCCGTGTAGTTGACGCTGCTGTACTTCTTCAGCTGCTCAATCTCATTCGTGATGTTGTCGATTTCGGCCTTCAGATCCTTGAGAGGCTGAGTGGCGACATCTCCCTTGGCCTTGGCATCGGCAGGAGCGAGCTCCTTGAGCTTGTCAAATGCCTCATCAATGCGCTTCTGGAAGCTCTGGACGGTCTCTTCCTGGAAGGTGCAGACCTTTTCGAGCTGGACGTTGAAGATCTCGTCGCTGAACTTGGTCTCGTCCTCCTCGGTCCATGGCGTGTCGTCATCTCGATTGTCTTCCCTCAGTAGACTCTTGAGTTTCGAGTAGTCGATGTACTTGTCCTTCCACGGGCCGTAGGTGGCCTCGCGAAGAGTCTTGCCGAAACGCATCTCGGCGGCAGTGCGACAGAGCCCAATCGATAGCAAGTTCTGCTTTGAAAGAGTGAAGCGCGGGAGCAAGATATCCAAGAGAGTCTGGCTAATCGAGAAAACCCTAAGCTTCTGTCGACTGTGCAACTGCCGCGGCTGTTGTTGTTTGTTGTGGTGATGGTTATCCAAGGCAAGCCAGCCTCACTTCCCAGGTCCAAAGTTTCCGTACCAGCTCATGTCAACATTCGTCACCGTAGCTGCCCGCACACCCCACTCTGAGCTAGGACGCCCCACCCATTGGTCGGCCCTGTTCCAGACGGGCGCATTCAGCTAGACCCCAGGCAGTGTAGCGCAGTTAACCCCAGCTACGGATTAGCTGAATTGGCCAATTGCCGTCTACCTCTGTGCAACGTGCTGCTGCACGTCTGCAATTTGTGAAGGCCTGGAGCATTCAACGTAATGCTTGAAAACTCCATCAACGCACATGCAAAGAAGCGGAAAAAATTATATGAAATAATCCACGTCTGCTGCAACCAGGGTGCTCAGAAATGCAACTGGAATAGCCTCTCCCGAAGACCGACAGTCAAAGATGGCAAGTTCCGAGCCCACGGATACGGAGCATACCGAAAACAATCAGAAGAATCGATGCATAAGCATTTATGGTACTTGTATAGTCCTTGAAAGTGGCCTGGTCATGTTATGATCATTCCAGGCGTGGTGTGCACTTTCCGTGGCGTAGATGGTGTAACTTGATGCAAACACAAAAGTTGATGCCTTTTATTCATAGCAATTTGGCCTAATTGGAATGATTTTAAAAGACCTAGAAAACGCACCGGGTCGGACCTCAGCAAGAAGAAATACAACAGATCATCCACTATCTCAGGCTGCAGGTTAAGAGGATGAAGAAAACACATCTTACGATGATAATACAATACAATACAGTTTCTCACATTGCATCATATTACCATTTCGAAACATGAATAGTCATTGGGTTACGAGGTCCTGCAACAACATTGGATACAGCGGGCGGGCTGGATTCAAGAGCTCTGCTAGATGCTGATTACAATGGAAACGCTGCGGCGCGACAAGAGCACTCATGATCGCAGCCTGGAATTACTGCCCATTGGGAATTTCTAGCACACCAATCACATGAATAACTTGACGCCGATACGGAAAGCACCAGAAACCTTATCTGTATATGATGTAGCCTGACCTTTCCCTGGAAGCCTTCATCGGCTGCTATTTCAGGTCCGATATTCTGGGCTGGGAGGACCTACCACTAAGCATGCTTTCTCGGTCATTTTGTCTCATGGCATCCATCTTTTCTGGTGCTTCCTTCCAATTGCGACCAGCCCATGACTTCCAACAATGACGTGACTTGTACGAAGGACAGTCGACGTCCTCCAGGAACCGTTCCACTCGAACGAGACAACTTACGACGAATCGCCGTCTTTGAGATCCTCGAATCAATCCTCTACTCACGTATACATCCTCTACACAGCATAATATATCATCCCAAGTACTCCTACGGCCGTTCTCATCCAGGCCTCATGACTCGTCTTTCGTATTGGAGTGATTGGGAAACCAAAGTGTTGGACACATCGCCCCTTGAGCACGCGGCTGCTCTAAACTCTTCGCAGAAAGCAAATTACGGACAGAACCATACATCCCTTCGGTTCGCGACATCTGCTTTGCTTTGGGTGGTTGTGGGCACTTATGTCATCTCCTTCCTCATCTGCCTCGGTACGAGTTTCCGAAGACCACATGGCCAACGGGTCTTTCACTATATATTCACGATCTCCCTCCTCTCTGCGGCTATCCACTACTTTACTCTTGCCTCTCTCTTTGAGAGAATATCCAAGCTCTATTGGCCCAACTTGGCTGCACTTGGTGGGGCACGCCGGGATGAATCTAATGAGATGCATATGGCTGAGTCTGCCTACCTCTTCAGTGAGCACAATCTAAAGCAGCTATTTGTTGAAAAGCTATTATTGATATACCCCAGAAAAAGTCACATATGGAGCCATGGTGCTCGCATTGGGGTTGTTGAGCGGTGTGCCATGGGCCATGATCATCTACAACATCGCTCTCGCGTGGATCTGGTGAGAAGTATCCCCATTGGATTCTATGGTATTAATGCTAAAGCGGCTCCTCGCCAGGATACACTCATATCTGGTCTTCCTCACGTCTAACATGTGGGATACATGGCCACAAACCTACCTTGAATCCTTCGCATGGGGGTTCTTTGCCTTCGGTACCATTGCCTGGCTCATATTAGCCTCGAATATCCTCGGTCACGGCAGAGAGAGCGCAGTCAGATTGGGAGGCCACCGCCATTACGATTTTCTATCCATTTGGGCGGTGACGACGTGGTTCCTTTGGAACTTAACCATTGTCTCGAGTATCAGAGATACCGGGATCAGCCTCGACGTCATGGACTGTTTTTTTGGGCTAGCCTTTGTTGTCGCCGATATTATGATGACACCGATCGCTGCATGGCTATTTTGCCATTCATCCCACACTCTTGACCACAACAAGCGCGCGATATCTGACAGGGTTCACGACGATGGACGCGATCCTGAGGGTTCGACTGTGGCACCGGCACGTGGCACTGATCATCAACCAGAAACCTCGACCCCGTTCACCCTCCGACAATACTTTCATAGGCACCCTCCGACGATACTTTCATAGGTAGACGGGCTGCAAGAAAAATGACGAACAAACCTGCGGACCTTGTGAGTATTCAATGGGGTTGAGGGGTCATGTTGGCCGAGCCAATTCTAGGGGTGTTCCGCATTGACTTTATGGGTATAATGGGAACAGACTGCCAGAAGAGCATCAATGCTTCAAGTAGCATATCATAATCCATTAGGTCTATCATCCCTTGTGTGAAGACACACGATTGCTTTTCCACAGTTTTGAGTCTGAGTTTATGAACCATTAAGCAAGTCCGAATGAATACTGGGTACCGAGCTGCATGAAGAGTAGTTTCTTTTTGTAAAGATGCCTAGCCATGGAGGCTGTTGTAGGTCGAGTGTCAATTACTGTATCAACGTATCTCGTATCCTCCTAGTATGGGTTCTTAGAGCTCCCTGAAGCCCTTATTGTCAAGCCACCAGTTGATTAGGCCCCTCTTTGCCAATTCTTCACCGAGTTCAGTCGTGCTATGAATCTCAATGAAACGTTCTCCTGGTACCTTAGACGGTCGGTTTGAACTCACCGGGGCCTTGCCCGGAGGTACAGCACACTTGTAGTTGCTTCTGTCTAGAGCCTGGATCTTTGCCGCCCAGTCTACCAGATTTCCAAGATCATGGCTTTCGGCGTAGAGTAAATTAGGCGCCGTGCCTCTCTGGAACATTACAAAGGGGATATTGTGATTGCGAGCATGCCTTTTAAACTTTCTGATTGCTTCTCTGTATGACGCTCGATCCAGTGTCATTCTTGGGCATCTGATCAGGGTATGATATATTGGTCCACCCATCGAGCCTAGTTTGTGTGTGACGTTATTTCGGCTCAGATCTGTTTGTGTGCGTGTCAAGCAAACGTGGGTGGAGTGAAAGCGTGTTTGCGGTTATCAGGTGAGATATCTGATGCAAAAGCTGGAGATGTTTTCGATCGATTTCGATTCCTGCAAGACTGGTTCTGGATTACATCACATTGATTTTAGAGGTGAGAGAACATGCGAAGAGTTGCAATTGTCTCCCCCGGACGCATATTTATTTAAATAGGTCTGGATTCTGCAATGTGCACTGGTTGCCGGTAACCGCCCAAGAACTGCAAGTAAGCTCATTGGGAATGAATTTCATGTACAGCAAACAATGTAATGCGTGTTTACTCGACCAGGCAGCTGAGGACCTGTCCCAAGAGTTCTCAAAGAAGCAATAGGCCATGTGATCGACGGGTGTCAGTGTGACATGTCATTAAATCATGTCATTATACCATTCAGAGTATAGTGTTGGCTGCATCATTGTGCTCAAGGTCGCATTTGTCTTGAAAAGCATTCATCCCTTGGCAGGCAGCCCCGCCACAATAAGAGTGGCGTGAAGGTTTTTGAAATTGTTTGCAAAAGACGGAAGGAGAGGGAGCAAATCCACAGATGAGATGATTTTCTGGTATCTACTCATGACATGAGTCATTTGCAGTAAAATGTTGGAATGTCATGTATCGGTGTTCAAGCTTGAAACTATTGTCTGTCTGAGGTATGTCGGCGTTAAGAGATGTGCACGCACCCAGTCAGTGGGGACAAATATTCCCCATGATGAATAAGTCGCGCCGCAATGTCCGATTGGCAGCCAATGAGTTTTCAAAAGAGTTTTTCCCCAACAGTACTGGAAAGGGACTTGAACAAGGCGCAGATTTCTCGGAGTTTCCATCACTGACAAGCAAATCATTCGGGAGCAAAATTTGAAGCGTTTTTAGTAATCATGGCAGTTGGCAATTGCCCGCCCAGCTAGATCGAGGCAATGGTCGATCATATCCCACATGGCTGTGGTACTCTGTATACCTATAGGCTTTGTCATAAGATGAATGATGCCATGGCTCGATGAGCTCATTGGTCGCCCTGGATGTCAACTCCCCGCGAATTGTCATCAATTACAGTATATAAAAACCACTGTCGCCCAACTGATTTGAACTAGAACCGTATTCAAATCTCAATAGACACATTCCAGCATCATTAGCAAATTGCAAATCTTCTTGTCTATTTTCCAGCCCATGAACTCGGTATCGCTTCTGACCAAACAAGCATTGTCACACGCAAGTCGCACAACTCCAAGAATTATTACATCATTGCCGAGAGCCCGGCAGGCCAGCACCATGACGAGCGGAGTCTTCAAGCACATTGATACCTCGGCGCAGCCACCCAACACCAAGCCATGGACAAAGGTGGACGCCGATGCCACGTCCTTCAAGCTGCTAGAGCATAAGCGCTCCGTCCACAACCTGCGTGGCCACGAATCCGAGTTCACCACGGACAACTCGGGTTTCGCAGTCCTCAAGTCGCCGTCCCAGGAAAGCTCGTTTACAGACGAAGCCGCCGTGCGGGGTCCTTACTACCAGGAAGTCGAAGCCTTGTTGAGAAAACAGCTCCCCGGCATCAAAAAGGTCGTCATTTTCGACCATACCATCAGACGCCGAACTCCTGGCTCTGCGCGGGCACCCGTTCAGCAAGTCCACGTCGACCAGACACCGGGCGCCACTGAGGTGCGTGTGCGCCGTCATGTCCCCAAGGAGGAGGCGGACGAGCTCCTAAAGGGCAGGTACCAAATCATCAACGTGTGGCGACCAATCGAGAACCCGGCGTCCGACTATCCTCTGGCCGTGGTGGACTGGCGCACCACAGAACCCAAGGACTTTGTGCCCGTGGACCTCCTCTACCCCAAGCGCCAGGAGGCGCAACGCCACGACGACGACGACGACCGCGGCAAGGAGGTCCGGCCCGATGAGTCGGTCTGGTACTCGACCGAGGGCTACGAGGTCCGCGGCGAGACCATGTCGGTGGCGCCGAACCCAGCACACAAGTTTTATTACCAAAAGGACATGACACCCGACGAGGTGCTGCTACTCAAGTGCTACGATTCGTTTGGTGATGGCCAGCCCATGGGCAAGGACGGCATTGCAGTCAGGACACCTCACACGGCCTTCATAGACCCGGCGACGCCAGCAGATGCGCCAGGCAGGCAGAGCATTGAAGTCAGATGCTTGGTGTTTTACGAGTAAAATATTTGAAAGAATCAAGATTCAAGACAGTAGCAGAAAGCATGTACTTTGGAGAAGACCCAGCGCAGCGGTACAGACATTTGTTTTAGAAAATATAATTTGAACTCATATAATCTATTGACAGTTCAAAATTCTATAAATTGTCTCAAATAGTCTGTTGTTGGCATCTGTGCATCTACAAAAGCGAACATTTATTCACTATTCACTACTGGATATCCAATGTTCAATGTTGGGTGCGAAAATGTCCAAGGTACAGAGTACAAGCTGTATCTCTTTCATCTCTCAAGGCTTGCACCGCCACGCTAACTGAGCCACAGCCGGATTTAAGGAGACGGTTGCTTTCCCGTACCTACCTGGTCGCCGCCGCATTGCTTAACCCAACCCATCAATTAAAAGCCGACGAAGCCCAGGACAGACGGACAATGCCCTCGTCCAGTCCTTTGCTGAACTGCACATAACCATGTCTTCAAGGTACGTGTTTTCCTTTCTGTTGGTAAAAGTGCATCTCTCCCAGACGCAAACGACAGGTGCGCCGGTGTTCCGCGACTGCTTTGCTGCCATCAGCTCGCCCTTGCTTTGGCAGACTTGGACCCATGAACAACCTCCGACAACCGTCAAATGCGACGCCACGGGAAAAGGGGGTCGCTTCAACGAGGAGCGAAAGGTCATAGCGGGATGATGGAGGGAGCCTTGGGCCAACTCATACTTGCCAATAAAGATATATTTGTCCAGGCAAATGGCTAACATTTACACGCTTTGGTCTCCCATAGGTTCGGCGGCTCGAATCTACATCAGCGCGACTCCCGCAGCGCGCTCTTTGAAGGCTACAAGGGCGGCGCCGACAGCACACGGAGGCAGTACAGCGCAAGCCCGGCCTCGGTCGGCGGCGGCTACGGCTATGGAGGCGGATACCCGGGCAGCAATGGCAGCGGTGGGCAGCTAGGCGTCCCAGACAGCAACAAAGGCTTTCGGCCAGCGACACCAAACTCGAGGTGAGTTTATTCCTTGATTCTCTCCTTCCCATCTATCCGTACTGTCTCGGCTGACACGGGATTTACTTTTTGCAGAGGCCAATACGATACAGCGACGCTCGACGAGCTCGAGAGCCAAAACGATCAAGAGGTTACCGGCATCATGAACAAGGTCAAGATGCTCAAGACGCTGTCCGTGGCCATGGGCGACGAGATCCGCGATTCCTCGGCCATGATGGACAAGATGAACGACACGTTTGACAACACGCGGCTGCGGCTGCGCGGCACCATGAACCGCATGATGGTCATGGCTGAGCGAACTGGCGTCGGCTGGAAGGTCTGGCTGGGCTTCTTTGCCGCCGTAATCTTGATCTTCATGTACGTCTGGCTGTTCTAAATCGGCCGACGATGATTTGGATTCAAGGGCGATTAGTCATGACTTTTCCATGACGCGACATGAACGTTGGCTGGTTATTGAGATGATGAGGACAGCTGAAAAGAAAAAAGCAGCGCTTCAAGTGGATGGCTTTGATACGAAGTTCATGCACAATATATATACGACACGATGGGAGAAACGATTCATTGCAGAGAAAAAAGGTTTTGTAATCATTGTTATGCATAATTTTCATACTTGGGCCATGACGATAGAATTTCTAGACAACTGGCTTGATCTAGGGTATCGAGAAACAATAAGCAACCAAAGCGCCCTAGGGTATCATACATTGTATTTTGTGTCATCCGTGTGCTCCCAAAACGCCAGCTCATCTGAAAAGTCCTCTCACGCCAAGTCTTCCCCTCCTTTGTGTCACCTAGACACGTCTCGGAGCGTGCGGACTGCTTCCTAGGACGCTGCTACCGTCTGCTGAGAGCAGCTCACTAAATGCAAGGCTATTGCGCGTAGCGTCTGACCGAGCCAGGCTGTGTCTGTATCGCACCGACTGTGGTGCTCGCGCGGCAGCAAAGCTCACCTCACCCTGATCATCGTCACTGCTGCTCAGCTCTTCCTCGGTGTCCGTATGTTCGTAGCCTCCGGCGCTGTCTGCCTCAGGAATATCATCGTCTAGATCCACCCCCATGCCGAGATCGTCACCTTCACCAATAGTGTCGCCCTCCTCGATCATCTCTTGCTGGTCCTCATCGTCGATTTCCTCTTCGCCAGCAATGCTGTCCTCGAGTTGATCGTGCGTGCGGCGCATCATCTGTGTCATGATATCTCTCTGTAGACGGGCTGTTCGGAGTGCTCCCGCTGGTGTTCCCACAGGTTCCAGCTCTTCTTCAGAGGATTCCTCGCTATCTTCCTCATCGCTCTCCTCATCGCTTCCACTCATGAAGTTGTCCTCAGCCTCTGGTATATCATCGTCGAGATCTCTGGTGCCGTCAAGCTGCACCTCGTCCATGGCATCGCTACCCGCGACATCTCTCATGACGGCATCCGCACCAAGACCACTAGGGCCTTCGAGGCCGTCCGCATCGGCGCCACCGCCCGTAGCCTCGGCCTCGGCGAGCTCTTGGGCGAGCTGCTCGCGCCGCATGGCCTCCTGGTGCTCCTCCTGCTCCCGGCGCTCCTCGCGCAGCTGGTGCAGGGTCTTGGGGATGCCCGGGGGCTTCAGCCAGCCGCTGCCAAAGCTGGCGACATTGTGCAGGCGGCGCTCGGCGTTTTGCTCGTCGTTGCGGAGGCGTGCGAGGGGCGAGCGCTCAACGATGTGGGCATTGTTGCGGCGTTGTTGGTTCGCGGCGTGGTGATGGCTGGCATGTTGTTGTTGTTGTTGTTGTTCCGAGGCGCCGGGAAACGACTGATGGAGATCGTGTGATGCAGCTGCCGACGATAGTGGACTGCGCGATGATGTATACCACAGGGCATGCGACTATTTGTTTTACCCAAAAGACGACAAATGGTCAGCTTACCTTGATGTGGAATGGGGCATGGTTGAAGGCGACTGGCAGACTCACGTCGCGTGGCGCGAGATCGGGCAAGAGTGAAAACATCTTGCCCACCTGCGTTGCGGTCAAGCTTGGCCTGATATGATCAAAGAGGCCGTCTTGTACGTGTCGAGCACACAGATATTTGCTTGTACTAGATATGTGGGGGGTCCGGTAATGCTAGAGTTGCTTGTTGTTTTCCTTGTTTGGGAGGCTGATGTCAAGTTCGCGACAAAGTCAAAACATTTACGGCCCAAAAACCCCACCACTACGTACCTACCTACACCAAGGAAGCTACGGATGGAATTGCCATGTGCTTTGCAAGGTCTATAACCAAAGCGGCTTCCAAGCCATTGCGGGGTAGTGGGGTTTTCCGGGTTGGACCATCAGCAATTGTGTACGTACTTTTTTGTTAGTATTTCGTAACGTGAAGCCTTACAAAATTGGGGAATGGAGATCGAACATATGGAGAAACTCCTTTCTGGTCTGATATACTGACAGGCTCGCGATGGCTTCAAGTTGTCTGTCTCTGCGGTGGTTGTTGCTATTTCTTTTGCGCTAACGAGCCTTTGGGAGAACATCAGCTCTGAAGTGTAGTGCTGCATCTTTTGTGCGATATCGGGCCTAGAATTTTTTTTTTCCTTCTCCGCCCAGCGGTTACTTTTGTGCGCAAGTGCCTTGTATGTCCAAACGGAATAATGCATCCCATCCTTCAGCAATCGGTCAGCACCGTAGACGCCAGGCCAATTTGTCAGGATGCAGTCTGCAGGTCAATGGTTGCGCATACGGCAATGCCGTGGACTACTGTGACAATCCTGACACGATCAAAAGTCAATCCCACCGTACAGTATGCATCATGTATGCCGGTTGACCGGTCCGTTGACCTAACCACTACGTGCTCTTCTTGCTCCGTACAGTAGGTTTGTCTCACCTTGAGACCTTCAGCAGATCTTTGGGTTGAAGTCATACATTTATTACATGACCTACCTGCCGACAGTAGTGGAATGATTGACCAGTTGCAAGCGATCAATTTGGCAGCGGTGAAGAGCACAAGCATTGTTTGCTGCCTTGCCGCCAGCCGCCCACTCCTGCGTACTGAATTGTTTAAAGAGGCTTGCTTGGCTTGAAGGCTCGAGAAACCCAACCTAAAAAAGAATACTGGAGCCAAGAGGAGCCAAGAGTGCGGAGCCTAGGATCAATCCTCGACACGTTGTTCGGGATGTCTCGCCTCTCCACGCACGACGGGAGATTTCGGAATCAATGTGAATAATTTTTTTCTTCTCATTGTTTCTTCTAAAGCTTTTCCCTAGCTCCGTTGGGCATGGTATGAGTGCGGGATAGTCCTTTCCGCCTGCCGAGGCTCCTCCGAAACGATCATGACCTGATGTGGTGAGCCCGGAATCCGACGCATCAACGCTCATTTTATTGTCCGTCCGCCCTACCAGAGAGGACGAAGCGGGAAAGAAAGAGCTACTTCCTTGCCCGATGTCGGATTTGTTCATTCGCGGTCGCATCGGCGAAGGACCGAATTGAGAGTCCAGTTCAGCATGGAAGCAGCACGTCGAGACGACGTTGGCCAGGGAAATTCGGGCTGGGCAATCCCAAGACGTAACCTGAGGAGTTTGTCGTCTGTTGTCGCATTGGCTAGTCACATAATTCCGATGTATGGCAATCGTCCGGTAAAACATCAAACAATGGACGCGGATATCTTTTCGGTTGCAACCAATAAATCAGCACACCTTTGCCTGATCTGAATGGGGTGTTCAATCTCACCACCCTCCTAGCGATTGCTACCTACACGCACATTCATACACACACGCACTGCATATTGTAGCGGCCGGTCAGGTAGGGTGTGAATGCCGTCCGCTCACTCATCGCAGCCCTACCCACGTCCTCTTTCCGGCCGCCCGCTTGAGGAAAGTTCTCCTAGCCTGCAGCATCCGGCAAAGGATGTCTTTGATATCGATGCGACTCTCGTACGGTTCCGCAGACAGCAGCGCGCCTACCTATGCTTAGCATCTGCGGCAGTCTACACTAGGTAGTGTATTGTGCATATCTCAGAGCGATCTCTGTCTAGCCTTTTTTCTAGGCGAAGACTAGATAAGAAGGTCGTCCTTGGATGCATTGGATCTGATTGGCCGAGCCGAAGTTGACAATTCTTTATGACTGACAGCATGCGAGGCTGCTTGCGGAGGAGGAGAACGGCGCACGCCTGGTCACGAGGCCATGTGCGCTGTATTCCACCCATCCATTCCGTTGGCGCGCTGCCGTCGCATGATATACCCTACGCCGATGCACAAGTCCTTTGTGTTACATATGCCGTGAGTGACGACAGCAGCCACCCAGACCACCCCCAATTTGGTCTTTCCCCCCTCGGCCATTGGCCGCCTGTCCTTTCGTCAAAAACTCAAATACTATGGTCTGGTCTTTGAGAAACAAGGGTCTCACATCTTGGCTTACATGCTAGAACGAAGGCTGCGGCAAACCCTGAAATTGCGAGGTAGCATAACAAAAAGAGATGGAGAGGTGGCCCCAAGGCTAGACCGTGCTCCTCCCAAGCTCCTTCTCCAAAATTCCGGGGGGTTTCATGAAAAACAAAAAAGAATTCTCACTGGTCTATACACTATACTCTAGGCGATCGATCAATTCCTGGGGTCGTGCCCAAAGTAATGCCGACTCGTGTCAAGACCGCGAGTCGAGTTTCTGCTTGAGACAACTTCATGATCAGCGTTTCCTTGCCATCACTCGTCCCCAATTTCCCCACCTAGAGTATGTATGTATGGCTAGTATGTATTTCTCCTCATCTGGCTATAAGCTGATCGCCAGAGGAATAATTCTGGAGCATCCAATAAACCAACCGCCTGCCGCGGCGCCGCCTTCCCCCCCAAGATGGGCGCGGTGGCAGCCAAGACTGTTGACCATGACGCTAAAGCATGCTTGCAGGCCTTTCCCTGCCAAGTCTTCGCGAGCACAACCACAGGCTTGCTCAGTGCTCGGTAGGGCGACATCGGCCTATGTCAGCTATGCAGAAACAGGGCGCCCTGATTGGCTGCTGCTTCACGTTATTGCACGACCAGCAGCCCCCCCACTGCTAGAGTCTTGGGAATTCACCAGCTTGCAGGCGAAACATTTTGGGGAGCACGGTTTGGACCCCTAGCACATGCACAAACTTGCATGGAGTCTATGTGTGGGGTGCTGCTCGTACGTATTGAGGACGTGGATCATTGTCTTTTGGTTGGCCCGTCTTTAATTGCCAGTCTGGAGAACTATTGTGTCCAACATAGTATTCGTGTGCGGCCCCGATCAGCGGACTCTTGTTGTTGTTGGGAATAAAAAGGGAAAAGAGACAAGGTGGCTCAATCTAATCGAGCCGACTATGGCCCAGTCGGAACGCCGTTGACGGGAGTGCCAGGGGTCCTTCCCGAAAAACACACCTAACCGAATCTATGTTCTCTGCTAATAGTATGCTGCCTGGCAAAGCAAGAGAAAAGAGTCCAGACACGGCCAGCAGCTACCCAAGGAGGAGAAGGCCAAAGGACGAGATCCGAGGCATTGAGACCACCCACGATTGATGGAAACAAATGTGCGGCAGTAGGATCACACACGTATGGATGCACCCACACAATATTCCCAATGGTACGTTACCCTTGTGCTTGCTTTGCTGCTTGCGAAAAAAAAAAAAAAAAAAAAAGACCAGCAATGCAAGAGGCATGCCAAACAGACAACACTCGTCCCACAATTTTGCTTTTGATGCAGTATATTCATAGTATATTTCCATGTTCCATATATAACCAACTCTATATACTTTTCCCTGGGCATGAGCTGAAGAGGCCCCAAGAAGGTTGGCATTACGTAGCAAGAGCTTCATGGCGGGTTTGCATATTCTAGTATGCTATTCCAATTACTGCAAGCATCCAGGAGGGGAACAATGGGATGGGACAGACATATTGCTAATTGTCCGAGATTGCCCATTTTGCGGTGCACCAAGCACTTCTGCAGCAGTCCACACATTGCGCGCCCGCTTAGACAAATGCACAACACAGCGAGAGCGGAAATCAGTTTGCAATCTACTAGTAGCTGGCAGACAAAAATGGCCGAGAGACGACCCGTCAGCCAAACCGGAGGCCAAGGGAAAAACATACCGTCTCTCCGTGTTGGATAATCCTCCGACATTGGGAGGAGAGCGGATACTGCCCCCACCCAGACACAATGTAATAAGCCAATGATGACTTGGCCAATAATACCATTTCAGCGCTGCGTGTTCCGTAGGGGCACGAGGGCTTTTAAACGAGCAATCGGAACGAATAGGATGTGTAGGAGTGTAGTCGCGCTTCTCGTAGGTTTGATTTGTCAGTACGTAGGTAATATTCAATCATAAATACGTACATTAAAATGCCGGCCGGCTGCCAGTCGGTGTATATGAGTAGTCATGAATAAGATCATTATGGGTATTAAAAATTCAATAATTGCACTTTGGAGATGATTATACACACTTTGATTGTCCCTTGTGTATTCATTATTGTTGTTGTTGTTGTTGTTTCTTGTCCTCTCGTATTGGTGGTGTGGGGGGAGGGAATATTTCCCTTCTCTCTTCTCTGCTGTTTTCTCACTCGTTTGCCTCGACTATGCAAATGCATGGGGGAGGAAATTGGAGAGCGCATACTCCTATGTCGGCCAATCAGCATAGTGTATTTGTCAATTTAAAGACTCAAAAGAGCTGCGTCAACGTCACCGAGCTCGCTAGTGGGTTTTGTCCTGTTCCCTTGGGCAAGATACTAGTCGACTGGGGTTGAGCAGGGGCGGGCTGAGTGAAAGACTCATCCTGACTGGCCATTGCTGATCGCCTCCCACAAATTGCTGTCCGTCTCTCGGCGAGTTCCCCTCCCCCACTCTGACTTATTTGGGAGGCTAACATTGGTAGGCGGGGACCAGGCTGGCTCCAGAGACAGGTAGCGTAGCGATCTGCCACATGTTCAGGCGGTGTTTTGTGTGGCCAAGTTATTTTTTTTTTTTCCCACGTCCCTCTAATTACTTTTTTGCTCTCAGGGCCAGGTAGGCAGGCATATGTATTCTCTCTAGTGTAACATGGCAGTTTGTATGGGACGATGGTCGGAACGGACATAGGAATAAGTCTAGGTAGATTTAGTGTTTTCCCCCGAAACGGGCAGACAGTCGGTGCAGTTCCCCTCCTGCTTGCCCTCGAATATAAGCAAGGCCACTCTCCCACGTTTCTCATCATCTCTTCTACCCTTCTTCTCTTCCTTTGCCAGACGACTCTTCCGTTCCCTCTCTTTCTGATTGAGAGTGATACTTTCCCCGTGGGCCACTAGAGCTGTCCTCAAGTAGTATATCAAAAGAGAGTCCTTTCGAAATCTACCTGTAAGTAATGAATGATTGCCCTGAACGACTTGCTTCCCCCCATAACCCAGCACCCCCTCTCGCATTTTGCACATTATACACACCCGGAATCGACACATACTACCTTTGGAGCGGATCGATGAGCGACATGGCGAGGACCCTAGAAGGATGGTGACTCGACGGCCCTTGTGGTGGTGCGACATTCTACTGCACTTTCCATTTCGAGCGACACGAATTGTTACGCAAGGGCAACACACATCATCTGGTGTTGTCTCAAGAAGCGGGACAGAATAGCACATTTCTCAAAGTGTTTGGCAATCTTTTTTTCACCCACTACTCCAATGCCATGCCATTCCAATCTCCAGTGGCAAGCGAAATCGACAGACAGCACAGTCTTGAGTAGTAGCGACAGCAGCGATGTGGATCGGCGTGCTCATACGCACGTTCTGACTGGGACGATTGCCATGGCACAAGTCAGACACTGGCAGCATACACCATGGGGAAACAAAAAAAAAAATTAAGAGAGACCACAAAAATCGGCCGACGCCAGAGCTGCATTGCTAGCTTCGCTTCTATCAAAACCCAGTTCTCTCTTAGCCGCATGAACCAAGTACCGTGGCTGCAATTGGTTGTCGTCATACCTCCCCCACGCCCACTGGAATCCGCGAGCGTGTCAGGCATTTCGACCTACCAGATTGTGGCCTTGTATGGGGAATTTCCCAATGTGGTTGCAAGCTGGCTGAGCTTTCTCCAAAGCTCTGCACGCTAGATCCTGTTGCGTTGCATCACATGAAAACGGCATATCCTTGAGAAACGCTGGGCGGAAAAAAAAAAAAAATCATTACCCACTGGCGGCGGCTGCTACTGCTGCTCAATCTGCAACCGAATCGAAATGCGGCGTCTCTGCGGGATCGGCTGTTCTGCTTGGAATCACTCAGAGTCGTGGCCGCCCGATGAATCTTACCACCTGCGTTGATGGGTCGCCGTCTGACCAATCAGGCCGCCGTTTGTTCTAATCAGGACGCCGCGGTTTTGTGCCTTTGTCAATTCCAGACTAGAGAAATGGCAAAAGTCAATTCGCCTGCCTGTCTGCACCATCTTGACTACGATACCCCCCATTGTATTCTACTGTCGCTACAAGACGCCAAAGGGATTTTCAGCACGCTCCATATATACCGACTTTCACCAGATTGCCGCCCAACCCTCTCAAACTCTTGGACTCGGTTCCTTCCCATCAGACACCAACAACACTGCCGGCTCAATCTCAGACGGAGAGCGCCGTTGATAGAGAAGACTATCCAGCTTGTTCCAGACCCGCAACCTCGAACCTGGCAACCACCAAAAACTGGAACCCTTCAACCTAGTCTGCCACCCCACTTCCGTCACAACTCCGCCGAGTCCAGACATTCGGATCCTGCCGCATTCCACTCGAAACCTTCACGCTCTTGCCATTCTTGCTGTCGCATATTTCTCTCTTCTTCACCTCGGCCAATCTCATCTCTAGCAATAGCAAGCAACTAACCTTTGATCTCATCTTCACAGTTCCAGAAAATTTGAGCGGCATCAGCTGCCCCCATCGTCGAGGGACCACTTTTCCGCCGATACCTTGATACCCCATTACCTCGAACCCAATAAAAAGACCTCCCCACCCGAAGACCCATTCACTCGCCTAGCATGGGCGTGCCGAAGGAATTCGACGATAGACAAACATCACTTGAATCTGAGGCCGAAACATACCACCCGTATGAATACCAGACAGAGAACAATGGCTCTTGGGCTGGTGCCCTGCCGGTGAAGCAGTAGGTTCAACTTTTGAGGTCGAAAAATATTATACACGGTATCGCTGACATTGACAACAGGGGTCTCTATGATCCTTCGCTAGAGAAGGATGCTTGTGGTGTCGGTTTCGCCTGGTAAGATTCAGAACATACTCGACAGTGATGTGAACAAGCAACTAACCAGACCTCAAAAAGTCACATCAAGGGTGTTCCCAGCCACAAGATTGTTAGCGATGGTTAGTTTCTCTGATCCCCCTCTCAACCCAAGATTACTGACCGATCAAATAGCACGAAACCTGCTCTGCAACATGACCCACCGTGGTGCGGTGGGTTCTGACGCTCGCGATGGTGACGGTGCAGGTGTGATGACTTCGATTCCTCACAAGTTCTTCATCAAGAACTTTGAGCGTGAGGTTGGCATTAAGCTGCCCCCTCTTGGCCAGTACGCTGTCGGAAACTTGTTCTTCAAGCCCGACGAGGAGACCCTTCAGGAATCGAAGAGGCAATTGGAAGATATTGCCGAGTCGCTGGGCCTTAGAGTCCTGGGATGGCGAGAGCCCCCCGTTGACTCTACTCTTCTTGGCCCAGCCGCAAAGTCGCGCGAGCCCATCATTTTGCAGCCCTTTGTGGTGCTTACCTCCGCATACGGCTCTGGAGATGCTCCTGAAATCACGGACCCAGAGAAGTTTGATGATAAACTCTTCGAGAGGCAGCTGTACGTGCTGCGCAAGCGTGCCACCAACACCATTGGTCTTCACAACTGGTTCTACCTCTGCTCCCTGTCCAACAGAAACATTGTATACAAGGGACAGCTGGCACCAGTCCAGGTCTACCAATACTATCACGACTTGGTGAACGCCGACTACCAGGCTCACTTTGCCTTGGTGCACTCTCGTTTCTCTACCAACACCTTTCCCTCATGGGATCGTGCGCAGCCGCTTCGATGGGCTGCCCACAACGGTGAGATCAACACCCTGCGTGGTAACAAGAACTGGATGCGTGCCCGCGAGGGTCTCATGCAGTCCGATATCTTTGGCGATGAGCTTGAGCACCTCTACCCCATTGTCGAGGACGGTGGTTCCGATTCTGCAGCTTTCGACAACGTCCTGGAGCTGCTTACCATCAACGGCGTCCTTTCTCTGCCCGAGGCTGTGATGCTGATGGTTCCAGAGGCATGGCAGGGCAACACTGCCATGGATCCCAAGAAGGCTGCATTCTACGAGTGGGCTGCTTGCCAGATGGAGCCCTGGGATGGTCCCGCCCTGTTCACCTTCGCTGATGGTCGCTTCTGCGGTGCCAACCTCGATCGTAACGGTCTGCGCCCTTGCCGATACTACATCATGGACGATGACCGCATCATCTGTGCATCAGAGGTCGGTACCATCCCTGTCGAGCCTGAGAGGGTCATCCAGAAGGGACGTCTCCAGCCAGGAAAGATGCTGCTGGTCGACACCCAGGCCGGACGCTTGATCGACGACGCTGAGCTCAAGGCTGCTGTTTCCAACCGCAATGATTTCCAATCTTGGATCGACAATGAGCTCATTACCCTTCCCAAGGTCTTGAGCCAGGCCACCGAGAGTGGATTGGACATTGCCCCCAAGCCTGATGCCAGCAAGCTCCAGGAGGACCCCTTGCTGCTTGCATTTGGTTACACTCACGAACAGGTCAGTTTGCTCTTGGCTCCCATGGCTTCCGATGAAAAGGAGGCTCTGGGATCCATGGGTAACGATGCTCCCTTGGCCTGTTTGTCGCAGGCGCCTCGTCTGCTCTATGAGTACTTCCGCCAGCTGTTCGCCCAGGTTACCAACCCTCCGATCGACCCGATTAGAGAGTCTATCGTCATGTCGCTCGACTGCTACGTCGGTCCTCAGGGCAACCTGCTTGAGATGGACGCATCCCAGTGTGGACGTCTGCTGCTTCCCAGCCCTATCCTCTCAATTCCCGAGTTCAACTCTTTGATGAACATGTCCAAGGCCCACCCCGGATGGACCGTCAAGACTATTGACCTGACCTTCCCCAAGAGCGAGGGAGTTGCCGGCTACCTCAAGCACCTCGACTACATTTGCAACGAGACCACTGCAGCCATCGAGGCCCGTGACCGTATCATTGTGCTGTCTGACCGCAAGACCTCGGCCGACCGCGTGGCCGTCTCTACGCTTTTGGCCTCGGGTATGGTTCACCACCACTTGGTTAACAACAAGTGGCGATCATTGGCTGCAATTGTCCTCGAGACTGCCGAAGCTCGTGAAGTTCACCACATGTGCGTGCTTCTTGGCTACGGTGCTGATGCCATCAACCCTTACCTCGCCATGGAGTGTATCATCAAGCTGAACCGTGAGGGCCTTATCCGCAAGAAGCTCTCTGATGATTCTCTCATTGCCAACTACAAGCACTCTTGCGATGGTGGTATCCTCAAGGTCATGTCCAAGATGGGTATCTCCACTCTCGCCAGTTACAAGGGTGCTCAGATCTTTGAGGCTCTGGGTCTTGATGACGATGTTGTCGAGAAATCTTTCCGTGGCACCGCCTCTCGTATCAAGGGTGCCACCTTTGAGATCATCGCCGAAGACGCTTTCCGTTTCCACGAGCGTGGTTTCCCTTCGCGTTACACTGTTGGCGTCACCGGACTTCCCGAGTCTGGCGAGTACCACTGGAGAGATGGTGGCGAGGCTCACATCAACGACCCCACATCCATTGCCAACATCCAGGACGCCGTCCGCAGCAAGAACGACAAGTCGTACGAGGCATACTCGCGCTCAGAGTATGAGCAAATCAAGGCTTGTACGCTCCGTGGAATGCTCGACTTCAAGTTTGACGAGTACACCCCCATTCCCATCGATCAGGTTGAACCCTGGACCGAGATTGTCCGCCGTTTCTGTACTGGTGCCATGTCCTACGGTTCCATCTCCATGGAGTCTCACTCTACCCTCGCTGTAGCCATGAACAGACTCGGAGGAAAGTCCAACACCGGTGAAGGTGGTGAAGACCCTGAGCGATCTCAAGTCATGGCCAACGGTGACACCATGCGATCTGCCATCAAGCAGATTGCTTCTGGACGTTTCGGTGTCACCTCTGCCTACTTGGCCGATTCTGATGAGCTCCAGATCAAGATGGCTCAGGGTGCCAAGCCTGGTGAGGGTGGTGAGCTGCCCGGCCACAAGGTTTCCAAGTCCATTGCCCGGACTCGTCACTCGACCCCTGGTGTCGGTCTCATTTCGCCGCCACCTCACCACGATATCTACTCTATTGAGGATTTGAAGCAGCTGATCTACGATCTGAAGTGCTCCAACCCCAGATCTCGTGTCTCTGTCAAGCTCGTCTCCGAGACCGGTGTTGGTATTGTCGCCTCCGGTGTCGCCAAGGCGAAGGCTGACCACATTCTGATTTCTGGTCACGATGGTGGTACTGGTGCCTCGCGATGGACTGGTATCAAGTATGCCGGTCTTCCTTGGGAACTTGGTCTGGCAGAGACCCACCAGACTCTTGTCCTCAACGATCTCCGTGGCCGTGTGGTTGTGCAGACTGACGGTCAGCTCCGCACTGGTCGTGATGTCGCCATTGCTTGTCTGCTCGGTGCCGAGGAGTGGGGTTTCGCTACCACTCCCCTGATCGCCATGGGTTGTATCATGATGCGCAAGTGTCACTTGAATACATGTAAGTAGTCGAAATCTGTGGCGTCCTTACCTTTTTCATGTTTTCCTTGAAGAGTCTATCTTCGAGATTTCCCGATCCCATAACTTTGTCTCGGGAAATACCTGCCTACTTGGTGGAAATTCCTACACAATCATGAGAACACTGAGAAGCTAACCTGAGTAGGCCCCGTCGGCATAGCGACACAGGACCCTGAACTTCGCAAGAAGTTCACCGGAACACCTGAGCACGTCATCAACTTCTTCTACTACGTGGCCAACGAGCTGAGAGCCATCATGGCGCAGCTCGGTTTCCGCACCATCAACGAGATGGTAGGCCATGTCGAGGCGCTCAAGGTCCGGGACGACCTCCGCACCAACAAGACTGCGAACATTGATCTTTCGCTCATCTTGACTCCTGCTCACAAGCTCCGACCTGGTGTCGCCACTTTCAATGTCCGCAAGCAGGACCACCGTCTCTACGTCCGATTGGACAACAAGCTTATCTCGGAGGCTGAGCTGACGCTTGATAAGGGCTTGCCCAGCAGAATCGAGTGTGACGTTGTTAACACTGACCGTGCCATGGGTACATCCCTGTCTTACCACATCTCCAAGAGGTATGGTGAGGCCGGTCTGCCCCTGGACACTGTTCACGTCAACATCAAGGGATCCGCCGGTCAGTCCTTCGGTGCATTCCTAGCACCTGGTGTAACTCTCGAGCTGGAGGGTGATGCCAACGACTACGTCGGCAAGGGTCTGTCTGGTGGTCGACTGATCGTGTACCCACCTCGAAACGCCGTTTTCAAGGCCGAGGAGAACATTCTGATCGGAAACGTCTGTTTGTACGGTGCTACCACTGGTACTTGCTTCTTCCGCGGTGTTGCTGCCGAGCGTTTCGCTGTCCGTAACTCCGGCGCCACTGCCGTTGTTGAAGGTGTTGGTGACCACGGTTGTGAGTACATGACTGGTGGTCGTGTGGTCATTCTCGGAAGCACCGGTCGCAACTTTGCTGCCGGTATGTCCGGAGGTATCGCATACGTTCTCGATATCAACGGCGATTTCGAATCCAAGCTCAACATGGAGATGGTTGAGGCATCTGGCATTGATGACCCTACCGAAATCGCATTCCTGCGTGGCTTGATCGAGGACCACCACCACTACACTGGATCCGAGCTGGCTGCTCGCATCCTGGTCGACTTTAACCGGGCTCTGCCTCGCTTCGTCAAGGTCCTACCCGTCGACTACAAGCGCATCCTCGAGGAGGAGGCTGCCAAGGCTGCCGAGGCCAAGCGTGCCGAGTTCAACCTTCCTGTCCTGCCTGGCGTCAAGCCCAAGAAGGAAGAGAAGGGAGCCAAGCTCCAGGACATGGAGGAGGCTGTTGGTGACAACGCAGCTGAGAAGAAGCGCGCCCTCGTCCTAGACAAGACCAAGGGTTTCATGAAGTACCAGCGACGATCCGAGAAGTACCGAAGCGCCAAGACACGTACCAAGGATTGGCAGGAGTTGTCTACTCGTCTTGATGAGGACGAGCTCAAGTACCAGTCGGCCCGTTGCATGGACTGTGGTGTTCCCTTCTGTCAGTCCGAGACTGGATGCCCCATCTCCAACATTATTCCCAAGTGGAACGAGCTAGTGGTAAGTTTTTCTGATCCTCTTTTGCTAGACCGATATGACTGACCCAATGATTAGTTCCAAAACCAGTGGCAGGATGCTCTCAACCGCCTGCTGATGACCAACAACTTCCCCGAGTTCACCGGTCGTGTTTGCCCTGCTCCTTGCGAGGGTGCCTGTGTTCTGGGCATCAACGAGGACCCCGTGGGTATCAAGTCCATTGAGTGTGCCATCATCGACCGCGGTTTCGAAATGGGTTGGATGGTCCCTCGCCCGCCCAAGGTACGCACTGGCAAGACTGTCGCCGTTATTGGTTCCGGTCCCGCTGGTCTGGCTGCCGCCGACCAGCTCAACCGAGCTGGTCACCTGGTCACCGTCTACGAGCGTGCTGACAGACCCGGTGGTCTCCTCATGTACGGTATTCCCAACATGAAACTTGACAAGCGTATTGTCAAGCGTCGTACCGACTTCATGGCTGCCGAGGGCGTCGTTTTCAAGACCGGTGTGTCCGTTGGTGAGGATGTCTCGCTGCTGGACCTGAAGGCTCAGAACGACGTTGTCATCATTGCCACCGGTGCCACTGTTGCTCGTGACCTGCCCATCAAGGGACGTAATCTCGAGGGTATCCACTATGCCATGGAGTTCTTGCACAAGAACACCAAGTCCCTGCTCGACTCTGAGCTCCAGGACGGTGCCTACCTCTCCGCCAAGGACAAGCACGTTGTTGTCATTGGTGGTGGTGATACTGGAAACGATTGTATTGGTACTTCAGTCCGTCACGGTGCCAAGTCGGTCATCAACTTTGAGCTTCTGCCTCAGCCTCCGCCACAGCGTGGTCGTGACAACCCTTGGCCTCAGTGGCCCCGTATCTACCGTGTGGACTACGGTCACTCCGAGGTCAAGCAGCACATGGGCAAGGACCCTCGTGAATACTGCATCATGTCTGAGGAGTTTGTTGATGACGGTAGCGGCCGCGTCAAGGGTATCAACACAGTTCGCGTTGAGTGGACCAAGTCTGCCAGCGGCGGTTGGGACATGAAGAAGCTCGAGGACACCAAGCAGTTCTTCCCTGCCGACCTTGTCCTCCTCTCCATGGGTTTCCTTGGCCCCGAGGCTCGCGTTCTCGGCGATGACATTGAGAAGGACGCCCGCAAGAATGTCAAGACCCCTGCTGGTTCCTACGCCACCAACATTCCTGGTATCTTTGCCGCTGGTGACTGCCGTCGTGGACAGTCGCTCATCGTCTGGGGCATCAACGAGGGACGTCAGGCCGCCCGCGAGGTTGATCTCTACCTTGAGAAGGTCACCAACTTGCCCGTCACTGGTGGTATCGTCAAGCGCACCGCCCAGGAGATCTTCAGTGTCAACGCCTCGTAGACGATCCCATAGAGGTTTAAGTTGAAAAGTGTGTTGTAACGTTACGTCTTTACGAATAGAACGATCAAATGAGAAGCAGCTCGCGCATTAGAAAATGGGGTGACGGAAATGCCAAAAAAGGAGAAATACCCTCGCGGTTTGCAATTCTTTGATTTAAGATACCACGCAAAAAGGGAAGCGGTTCACGGCACATGGAGGGGAAACATGAGTTTGGTCCGCATTTAAATACTGCTTGGTTGTTTTGTACATAATTCTGCTATTTTAAGTCAACACACAGAGTAATTGATCCGTTAAAATAAAATGTTGAAAATATTTTTATGCAATCACTTATAAGATATATATATTATTAA